GCAGTGTCTGCTCTTCAGATACCGAGTTTAATCTATCTCACGTCGGCAGTCACTGTTCAGGGTGGGTTTTTTCTCTCTGTGTTAAATAGCTTAGTCTGGCATAGAGGCTTCAAAGTAAATAGGTGGCTTATCTCTATTCAGCAGGAATCCCTGGTCTGAAGTGAAAACGCTGCCTGTCTTCCTGCTGAGCAAACAGGGAGCTGGGGAGTTTAGATGGCACAGAGACCTCCGGAGCTCCATGGCCAACTTACTGGTGATTATTGTTTAAACACGGAGGATTTAAACGTGAAGGTTTTAACTTGCTGCCAAGCCCCGAGTTCCTGTGGAACTTACTCAGTGATGTGGTTCTGGAGTCCTTCCTCATTCGTTAAGGAAGACGTCCAGGATCTTGAACCAGCTTCAGATGGAGATGCTGCGAGGGCTGGAGCAGCTCTGCTCTGGAGCCAGGCTGAGAGAGCTGGGTTGGGGCAGCCTGGAGAGGAGAAGGCTCCTGAAGGGGAGACCTGAGAGCAGCTCCAGTGCCTGAAGGGGCTGCAGGGAACCTGGAGAGGGGCTTGGGACAAGGGATGTAGGGACAGGCCAAGGGGAATGGCTTTAACCTGCCAGAGGGGAGACTGAGATGAGCTCTTAGGCAGAAGCTCTTCCCTGTGAGGGTGCTGAGGCGCTGGCACAGGGTGCCCAGAGAAGCTGTGGCTGCCCCATCCCTGGCAGTGCTCAAGGGCAGGTTGGACACAGGGGCTTGGAGCAAGCTGCTCCAGTGGAAGGTGTCCCTGCCTGTGGCAGGGGTTGGGGCTGGAGGAGCTTGGAGGTCCCTTCCAACCCAAACCCTTCTTTGAAACCCTGCTCTTTGCTCGTGCTAGGAGGGTGGCTGCAGAACTGTGGACATCAGGCTCTTGCTGCACGTGATGCAGCCTGGGGGGCTTTTAATTCAAGTCAAATGTGAGTCATCTCTGTTGGCTGGAGAATCATTGATCTGGTTTATTAAAAGCTGATCCATGTCATGTGAGCAAAAACCCAGGCAAGGCAGCACTGATGCAGCCACTGCTTCTCTGAACACGCAGTTTGTGTCGGGGCCACCCAGGTGAAATGGGAATAAGGGTTAAAAATAAAGAGACATGCATGGCCAGCAGCAGTTTTCCTGCCTGCATTCATCCCACTGTCACCGGTAACCTGCATCGCTGGGACCTTGGAGAGCTGTAAGTGATTCTTGCCTCTTGCCTGAGTGGAATGCACCAGCTCTTGTGCAAACTGCTGTGGCCAGTGTCGGAACGTGGCACTTGTTAATAGCCTGCAGTGCCTCGGTCTTGCTGTCTGGAACCAGATGGGGCTGGTAAGTCTGAGTTCTGCTGCAGGTTACCTGCTTCCACACCGCTGGGTTTGAAATGCATTCATCACATCTGTCGATGGAGACTGGGAAAGCAGAAGGGCTTTTGGAGTGCATCCTCCCCTCCCTCCTTCCTCAAAGCCCCTGTGTCCAGCCTGGCCTTGAACACTGCCAGGGATGGGGCAGCCACAGCTTCTCTGGGCACCCTGTTCCAAGGGGACAAAGCCTAGTCATGGAATGGTTTGGGTTGGAAGGGACCTTAAAGCTCCTCCAGCTCCAGCCATCTGCCACGGGCAGGGACCCCTTCCACTGGAGCAGCTTGCTCCAAGCCCCATCCAAAGGCCTAAATGCCCTGAGTGGATGCTTATATCCAGGAGAGGAGGCTCTGTGTTGGTCCTGGGCTGTGAAGCTGAGCCATGCCACATGAAGCACTGGGATGGTTCCTGGGCCGGGTACACAGGAGCCTGTCAGTGGCCTGGGCTTGAGAGAAATTCTTCCTTTTAATACATTCAACACAGTTTTACAGATCAAAAACTGTCTTGGAGGGACTTGGTGAGAGAGGTATTTTTAGCATGTGAATAATGTGGTTTTATGTAAGAACTGAGCACCAGAACTGAATCTGTCACTCGGGTACACAGCTGGGACTCTGGATTCCTAATTCACAGCACGGAGTTCCAAGATCTGTCCCTTTTTCAGGCATCGTTAACAAAGCTGCAGTAGTGAGGTTTAGTTTTTAGTTAACCCACTTGCTCTTTATATTAAACCCAGTGCCTCAAACCTTGACATCTCACTCGAATGGGCAGGGGGGTTGGAACCAGAGGATCTTTCCAACCCTAACTATTCTATGATTCTAAGTTTCTCTGATTGCATCCTTGCTTTGGGATGTGTTTAAAAACCTGCTTGCTCTGTAGGAAATGCCATTTCATTGCATTTTATCATTTCTGTGGTGAGTTGTACAGCAGCTGCGTAAGCACAACCAGTGTCAAGCTACACAAGTATTAATGTATAGGTTATTTGCATTGTCGTGGTACATCCGTTCCTGGAGCCCAGTGATTCAGCACAGGAATAAAGGAATCCTAGGCAGGCTTCTGACAAGTATTTTCCCTTTTAAACCTGTGGCTCCAGTGTTACTTGAGGGGTAAGGATTGGCTTTTATGATGAGCAGCCTATGTCTTGAAACAGAGGTAGGAGATGTTTTGGTGCTTTGGAGAGGCTCAGTGCATCCTGCAGCCAAATGAGGAGAACACAACTGTGGGTCTCGTCTATGTGTCACTTCATAACCTGAAACTACTTTGCAGTGTTGAACCCCTTAAATCTTTTAAGTAGGGTATGATGAAATCCTTTTCATAAGAGCAGCAGGGGAATAAACCAATTTACCACAGGCCCTTTGTGGGTTTAAATTACCTCTTTTTGCTGTTGAAAACCCCAGTTCTTTTTATTCTGCGGTTGAATAAAACTCCATCTATCCATTTAACATGATAAGCCTCTCTGCTGCACTCATACTTCAGTGACTGGTGATGTTTAATGCCATGGTTCCCTGAAAATACTCTGCTTCCCCGAGTCCTCTTCACTTCATTTATACTTGATAAGAACTAAATATTTCAGCAGCGTTGCCAGGAAGCGCGGATGCAGCTGGACCCGAGCTGCAGCATCTCCTGCTCATCCCTGGCGCTGCCAGGCCAGCATAGGAAACACTTTGCACCCTCCCAGTTGTCTGCTTATCCAAAGCAGCAGAACCAAAATGAAATCAAAGCTGTGTGTAGCACAGCCAGGGCCTTTTTGCAGCTCTGGAGTCTTTAAAACCATGGAGCGATGGTAACAGGGATGCAAACAGCTATGGTGATGGTGTTCCCCTTCCCTCCATCCGCATCCCCTGGTAATCCAGATGGCTTAACTAATTCCGAGTTTTATAGGCGGGGGTGAAGTGTGTCAGCAATGCTGTTCCCTGCTTAAAAGTGAATTACCCCTTTTGTGTGAAGGGAGCGGGGCGAAGTTGTTGAGGTCATCCCGAAAGCATCATCACTAAAAATGATCTGCTGAGGCAGAAAATTGGATTTATTCGTCTGTGAGCATTTCCATAACAATACCATTAGGCATAAATTTATGTTCTCTGAAAGCTTGTAGCAGAGTGGGCTCTCGGAAAACACACCACTTGCCTTTGAAAGTCCGGCTTTAAATGACCAGATGGTGCTTACAGTGCGGCTGCAGCATCAAGCTGGGGAGAGGTAACTGATTATTTCCATTTAAAAAGAGGGGGGCGGGACTGGAGAGGAAACTCCTTTTAATTGCTGTGTGGTTAGCTCCTGCTGAGCACCAGGCTACCTGTGAGAGCTAGGGGGTCCTCGCTGAAGCCCTGAGCACTGCTGTGCCCTCCTGGGCTGCACAAGCTGCCTGGCCCTGGGGGCATCGGATGGGGCTGCACTTAAACGATGGGATTAAAACTTCATTGCGATGCGTGTGTCATGTGAAGGAATCATCCCTTTAAGGAGGTGTTAGGAGGGAGAGCATGTAACAGTCCTGCAAAGGGGGCTGCAGGAAAGCTGGAGAGGGGCTTGGGACAAGGGATGTAGGGACAGGCCAAGGGGAATGGCTTTAACCTGCCAGAGGGGAGACTGAGCTGAGCTCTTAGGCAGAAGCTCTTCCCTGGGAGGGTGCTGAGGCGCTGGCACAGGGTGCCCAGAGAAGCTGTGGCTGCCCCATCCCTGGCAGTGCTCAAGGCCAGGTTGGACACAGGGGCTTGGAGCAAGCTGCTCCAGTGGAAGGGGTCCCTGCCCATGGCAGGGGTTGGAGCTGGAGGAGCTTTGAGGTCCCCTCCAACACAAAGCATTCCATGATGCTGTGGCAAAAGTAGGCTCTTCTGAGCAAGTGTGCTTAAATCAGCTGCCGGGTTTATTTTGACACCTGTATCCTTGCTCCTAAGGTAAGGTGCTGAGCTGTAGCACCGGTCTTGGAGGTGCTTCGTGCACCCGGAGGTTTATCTCACAAAAAGAAGCAGTAATCAAAGAAGATCCCAAGGGGGGTTTACACAGTTCCTGCCTTCTCCTGGGGACCACAACACGAGTCCCCACGCATGTCTGCAGAGGTCCTGTCCCCAGGGAAGTCCCATACTTTCCCAGTCCCTCCTTTTTTTCTCTAGGATGCTCATGGCTTGGGGCCGCTGGTTCCATCCCCTACCTTTTCCTGTAGGTATCTCTGTGACTTCAGCTGCAGAGCCAGCTATGAGTATTTCCAGGCTTCAGGTTTGGATTGGAGGGCTGTTTTGTTGCAAATCCCTTTTCCACGGTGCTGGGTAGATGGTGATGACATTGTCTCAGGGACTTCTCTTCCCCTTATGCGCTGGTGCTGTGCTGAGGGTTTGTTCTGGTTCCAGAGCTGCCGAGCAGCTCGCTGCCATCAAGCTTTTTCTGTAGAAGTGTTTGCCCTGTGATTGCCACCTTTTCTTTGCATCCTTTGCATTCGGTGGCGTTGTCGCAGCCAAGAGGTGAATCAGGACTTGGTACGTTTTGATCTGGTTGCTTATGGAGGACTGGGAAAACCCAAGTTCTCTTCTATGCTCCTGCCTGTCCCTTTCCTACCGACCGCTACCATGGTGTGCACATGGGGCCCTCAGTGATGCTCCAAGAGCTGTGGCTGTGAGCACCACTCCTTACGCACCTCTCCCCTCTCTGTCCTGCAGGTATGGTGTGAATATGCGTTGCTTGGCAGCTCGGGTCAACTACAAGACTCTGATCATCATCTGCGCGCTCTTCACCCTGGTGATGGTGCTGCTCTGGAACCGATGCTCCTCGGACAGAGCCGGCCCGTTCCCCCGCAGCCTGCCCGGCCCCGAGCGCCGAGCTGCCGCCTCCGAGAGCGACCTGGCCCGGCAGCAGAGCGAGGAGGCATCCCCCCAGGAGCAGCAGAAGGCTCCCCCCATCGCAGGGGGCTTCAACAAAGGCCCGGGGCTGAAGTACGAGGAGATAGACTGTCTGATCAATGACGAGCACACCGTTAAAGGAAGGAGGGAAGGCAACGAGGTCTTCCTGCCGTTCAGCTGGGTAGAGAAATACTTTGAGGTTTATGGGAAAATTGCTCAGTACGATGGTTATGACAGGTTTGAATTCTCTCATAGCTACTCCAAAGTATACACACAGCGAGCACCTTACCACCCCGATGGGGTCTTCATGTCCTTCGAGGGCTACAACGTGGAGGTTCGGGACAGAGTGAAGTGCATAAGTGGTGTTGAAGGTTTGTGTCCGGTTATTTAAGTTCTCTTTAATGCTTGAAATGGTTCCTAATATTTGCTGCCATCATGTGAGACGCAAAGTGGTGAACGCTCCATCCCTGGCAGTGTTCAAGGGATGGGGCTTGGAGCAAGCTGCTCTAGTGGAAGGTGTCCCTGGCCGTTGCAGGGGTTGGAACTGGAAGAGCTTTAAGTTCCCTTCCAACACAAACCAGCTTGGGATTCTCATGGGTCATGCAGATTCTTAAATCTAACTCACCTTAACACAGAATTAAGAGTGAAGAAGCGTGCTCTGCTACAGGGCACCAACAACAGCGAGTTGTGTGAGGAGGGTTAATCCCAAGGACAGCTGGGCTGGAGCTGTGCCTCTGAAGACAAGGGACAGCTTGGGGGGGAAGGACTGGGGCATTTTGTGCTGGTATTGGGTGGAGAGAGCCCGGCTGGTTTCTGCAGGCATCACTGCAGACTGTGCTTGTAGTGCTCTTGGGGGAGCCGAGGTAATTGGAGCGGATTCGTGGATGCGGGGTGAATTGATCCTTTAGCATCAAGTAACTTCCCCAAATCCAGCAGTAACACATGCACTTGGTTTGCAAAGATTGATGTGGCGTTAAAGGGATCATGTTGGATGTAACATCGTTTGGAGACTGAGTGGTCCCTGGGGCATGGGGAAAAATGTCTATTAGGGCTTTTTTAATGTATTTTAAACCAAGTGTGATGCTTCAGTAAATGAGAATGTATGGGAGACCACGATAAGGACTTCCTCTGCCACTCAAATCTGCTTTGCTTTGACCAGGGAGCAATTCACTCCTTGAACACGGCTTTCCTTGAGCCCAGCTAATGGTGAAGCCTGGGAATGCCACTTGCTAGGAGTAAAGGAGCGATGGGCTGTGGAGGAGAAGTGTGCAGAGCTGCAAGCGCTGGTCTTTGAAAGCCTCCTGATAACGTCCCCCTTTTCCTTCTCTTGCAGGTGTGCCATTATCCACGCAGTGGGGCCCTCAAGGCTATTTCTACCCCATCCAGATTGCACAGTACGGGTTGAGTCACTACAGTAAGAACCTGACCGAGAAACCCCCTCACGTGGAGGTGTATGAAACAGCCGAAGAGAAGGACAGAGCCAGCAGGTCTGCGGAGTGGACGGTGCCCAAAGGCTGCTCCCTGTCCACAGTGTCTGACAGAGCCAAGTTCACCAGTGTCAAGCAGTTCATCGCTCCAGGTGGGTTCTCCCCAGCGGGGCAGCAAAGCCTTTAATTTGCACAGATGGTGCGTGGGGAGCTTTAGGTACATGGGATTAATGTGTGTTCTTTTACCCTCCGTGACTCCTCATCCGTAAGAACTTACCTGAGAACGTCACCTCATTCCTGTATCTCTGGAGTTTGTCTTGTCTTCTCTTTCCTCCCCATCACTGCTTTTCCCAACACTACTTCCGTGACCCGATGGGTGGATGCACACAGGGAGGGCAGTGAGAAGCTGCAGTCACGTTTCCCGAGCCTTTCAGCTCCTGCCTCAGAATAGCAGCAACAAAAGAAGTAGAAAAAGAGGAACCAGTTGTGCAGCTGGGAAATAGCACTGATGTGTGATAAGCAGATGTTGACAGAGGAGAGAGAAGGTCTATTTTCAGCCTGGAGCCAGCTCAGCACGTGCAGCTCTCCGGTTGGACCTGGCATCACTCTCTTCACGGGGATGCAACTGATATTGCAGAATGTGAGGTCTTGGTTCTGCTTAACCCAAGTTGCCTTAAACAAGGTTGCAGCTGCCCCCATGGTGTGTAGGTATTTGCAGAGGGCTGGGGGGGGGAATGGGGATGATGTGGGACTGAACACAGGCACTCCCCATCCCCTGCAGCCGTGTGAGATGCGTTGTTACCATCTCTTCCATTTACCATGTCCTGTTTCGTACTTAGCAGGGAAATTCACTATTTCCTGCGAGTTTCCTTTGTGCTAGGAGAGGCTCATTAATAAGCAGGGATTGTGTTTTTCCTCAATCAATACCCATTAGAATTAATGAGTCCATTACTTAAAAAGACAATGAAGTAATTTTCAGTTGGCACCTTAGGCCTGGATCTCCAGGGAAAGAGCTGTCGAACACTCTCGTCTCTTTGTAGTAGATAAATACAGGGAGAGGGAAGGCTAAAAGATCTCTTATGTATTCTCTCTTCATCCTTTATTGATGGCAGAGTAATCTGCAGGGCTCGAAGGCCATGGGCTGCATCCACTCGTCTTAGATGGCCTTAAGTAAGGGATTTGCAGGCGCTCAAGGCAGTGCAAACAACAGGCAGCCTTTCTTCTCAAAGCTCTGTTTTTTTCCCTCCTCTCTATTATAATTCCCTTCCTTATCACACAAGCATTTATTTACAGGGAACCATGAAACTTACTTGACAGGAATTGTGAGTGGGGGTTGTTTTAATTAGATCCTTCATAGGAGCACAATGTGTAGCAAAGCGCTTGCTTTCTCCTCCCGAAGCAGATGCTGATCTCCAGAGCTCAAAGGAATGAAGCTTTTGCTTTAAAAGACTGGAAAATATGACTTTGGGTCAAAATGATGGGTGCTGTACAGAAGGGAAACAATTGCTTTGCGTGGGAGAGTTTTACCCTATGGAAAGCTGTTAAATGAAGATGCCTGTCTTTAAGTGTTCATCATCCCTCTGTGCCTTCAAAGCTACAGGATTTGCACGCAGCCTTACAAACTAATTAGCCCTTTGATCTGCCAAGTATAGAGGCTTTTGGGGGGAGAAGTTGATTTTGCAGTCTAAAATCTAGCCTGCGAGAGAACACTGGGTTTTATTCTGTGGCATTGCCTGGGAGCTTTATCTAGATTTATATGGTTTTTAATTAAACTGAGTTTTGCCAACGCAGAGGTTAATAAATACTTTAGCATCGGTCTTTCCATATTATTTTCTTCCTTTACTGCATCAAACTAATCAGGCTGCGTGGAGACCTCATAGCAGCTTCCAGTATCTGAAGGAGGCCTATAGGGATGCTGGGGAGGGACTCTTCATTAGGGACTGTAGTGATAGGACAAGGGGTAACGGGTTCAAACTGAAAAGGGGAAGTTTAGATTGGATCTAAGGAAGAAATCCTTTCCTGTTAGGGTGGTGAGGCACTGGAATGGGTTGCCCAGGGAGGTTGTGAATGCTCCATCCCTGGCAGTGTTCAAGGCCAGGTTGGATGAAGCCTTGGGTGAAATGGTTTAGTGTGAGGTGTCCCTGCCCATGGCAGGGGGGTTGGAACTGGATGATCTTAAGGTCCTTTCCAACCCTAACTATTCTATGATTCTATAACTGTCAGGTTGGGAAAGACGAAAGTCGCGCTAATGTGCCCTGTAAGTCTGGCTCTGCCTGTCCTGTGTCCTGCCAGCTGCGGGCAGCAGGAAGAACCCCCCATTTCCCTTACCCTGGATCTTCTGGTGTCCTTTACCCTCCTCCATCAATCAGGTACCAGAAGCATCTGCTAAAGCCGTCGATGGAGCCCCTGGCACATCTGCTCGGCAGCCAAGTGCTGCAGCGCGTTAATGTAAGATGCAAACGAGTCGGCCTTTGCTCATGGATTCACTTTGTGCTTAATTAAATAATACATGAATGTGCACAGAAATGTGATTGAATTATTGATGGGCTGCCCTAAAAGCTTTTGGATCCCGCCTGGTAAGAGGGGTTGCCTCTGGAAGCTGCACTTCAGAGCTTAAATGCTTAGGAGAAACGAGTGCTGTAGCACTGAACAAGGCTCTCCTGGTTTGTTTTGCAGACAGTACCGAGGGGATATCTCTGCAGCTTGGGAACACCCGAGATTTTATCATTTCCTTTGATCTCAAATTCATCACAAACGGGAGCGTTTCCGTGGTTCTCGAGACAACGGAGAAGAACCAGCTCTTCACCGTGCACTACGTCTCCAACAACCAGCTCATCGCCTTTAAGGACCGAGACATCTACTACGGCATCGGCCCCAGGACTAGCTGGAGCACCCTCACCAGAGACCTGGTGACCGACCTGCGCAAAGGCGTCGGGCTCTCCAACACAAAAGCTGTGAAGCAGACCAAAATCATGCCCAAGAGAGTGGTGAGGCTGGTGGCAAAGGGGAGAGGCTTCCTCGACAACGTCACCATCTCGGCCACTGCTCACATGGCGGCTTTCTTCGCTGCCAGCAACTGGCTGGTGAGGAACCAGGACGAGAGGGGTGGCTGGCCCATCATGGTGACGAGGAAGCTGGGGGAAGGCTTTAAGTCCTTGGAGCCGGGCTGGTACTCGGCCATGGCACAAGGCCAGGCCATCTCGACGCTGGTGCGGGCGTACCTGCTGACGAAGGACCACGCGTTCCTCAGCTCGGCTCTGCGCGCCACGGCGCCGTACAAGCTGCCGTCGGAGCAGCGCGGCGTCAAGGCTGTCTTCATGAACAGGCACGACTGGTACGAGGAGTACCCGACCTCCCCCAGCTCCTTCGTCCTCAATGGCTTCATGTACTCCTTAATCGGCCTCTATGACTTGAAAGAAACGGCTGGGGAGAAGCTGGGGAAGGAGGCGCGGGTCCTCTACGAGCGGGGCATGGAGTCCCTCAAGGCCATGCTTCCCCTCTACGACACCGGGTCAGGGACCATCTACGACCTCCGGCACTTCATGCTCGGCACCGCTCCCAACCTGGCCCGCTGGGACTATCACACCACCCACATCAACCAGCTCCAGCTCCTCAGCACCATTGACGAGTCGCCCATCTTCAAGGAGTTCGTCAAGCGGTGGAAGAGCTACCTGCGAGGCGGGCGGGCGAAGCACAACTAGAGCTCACAACCAAACCCCTGGGTCCTGCTGCCTCCCGGAGCTGCAGTGTCCGAGGTGGCATCCTGATTGTTTTTTTTATGGACCGTTTCAAAGAAGTGATCCTTAAAACTGATCTCGGGAAATCATTGCATTCCAGTGTGAAAACGTTTGGGTCGGATGGATTCGGAAGCTTCAGCCTGTCCTTAGCGTTCCACAGCGAAACCATCTGCGCGAAGCAAAGCCCTTGGGTGTTCCTGAGTTTGGGGGTGGGTTTTGGTTGGGGTTTTCTTTTCCTTTTACTAGGAAGACATTTGCAGAAGCCATACAGGTCTCTGAAGTCCAGCACTTGCCTGAAGCGTTAGTCCATGGCCTCCTAAAATGGGGTTATCTGTGTCTACGGTGGAGCAGGGCATGTGACGTAACGCCGTCGATGTGTATTAACTTACAGCCTGGGTGGTGGTCAGTGTATCTTTTTAAAGGTGTTTTTTTAATGCAGGTCCTATTCTTGGGGTGAAAATACCCATTATTGTGGTCTTCCCCCCAGCGTGGAGGTCCTGACGCTGGATGGTTTCTACACAGACGTGGGGACAGCAGCCACTCAAGCCGCGTGCCAGGCTTCGGAGTCCCGTCACCCAAGCACAACCCGGTGGGACGCCACAAAGCCTGCGACCACGCCACCCCCTGTTGTAAAGCCCAACTCACCATCACCCATCGGGTTTGCTGGTGTCACCTCCTCCTGGGCACCTGGGATCTCTCATCCTGGTGCCCCGTGGTTTGTGCTGTGGGTTTTAATTACGCCTGAGAGGCTCCTCTGAGCTTTGGCAACTTCATTCTTCGGGAGACCCGAGTCGCTGGGTGTGATGTGGAGCTCCCTGAGGAGCGTGCAGGAAGCTCGGTTGGAATGAATGAAGGGTTTCCGAGGGTGGTTTTCGTTTTTAACCTGCTTGAGGTTCAAAATCAAGCATTTTAAGAAGGAAAATCACCCCAAGAGGGCTTTCCAGCTCCACTTGTGCTTTAATACCAAGTTTCACCTCTGCGTACTGTCTTACTCATGGTGTGAGGGGCCGCTGCATCTCCAGCGGTGGCTTCGGGGTGGGCTTTGTCTTTGTGGCTCTGCCAGGCGAGCAAGGGGACCCGTGCAATAACCCGATACACGCATCCAAACCCAAATGCTTCCACCATCCCGTGGCAATGCAGAAGAAACCAGGAGCTTGCTTTCTCCTGGTTGCCAGCCCTTGACGCCCACCGTTCCTCTGCCTTCTCGGCGGGCAGTGTCCTGGCCGATCCTGTTACATGTTGTACATGTAGGTGGGGGTTAAGCTGAAGACGTTCACGCTGAGGATGAAGCTCATTCGCATCCCCGGAAGGCTGGGCACAAGGACGATGGGCGTCGTGATTCCTTTTTCCTTGTTTTCTGATGCTGTCTCTGTTTCTCGCAGACGCAAGCGTTTCGTTACTTGATCTTTGCAAATGCATGCTGTGATCGTGTCAGTTCATTGCAGGAGTGGCTCTCACAGGAGAAGTTTCAATACCAAAGGTAGCAGAGGTGAATTTGTTACGTCCATGTGAACACACACGCGCACACGAACCCCAGGACGTGCTTCCTTGACAAACACAAGCATCTTTCTGCCGCACGTTTCCTCCTTCTTTTGCCCAGTTTGGCTTTGGAGGATCTAGAGAGGCTCTTTGGGTACTGCTCAAGAGATGGTTTTGGTGCCTTATGGAGGCCAGCACTTCCTCGTTCTGTTGTTTCAATGAATGCCAGTTGGAGAATGGCAGTGTTGCTCTCTTACGGTGCGGGTCAGCCCGGACCCTGTTGGATGGGTGAGCTCAGAAGCGTGGGTTGGCCGGGCCAACACCATCGTGTTCTCAAACCACCTTATCCTTAACAGCTCCATTGCGTTGTTGTCGGCCTTAGCACTCGGGTAACTCAAAGCAACCGCCACCAGAGGTTGCAGCACCCAAGAGAGGTAGCGTGGGGTTTCTGCTGTTACTGCTTTTAGTTCAGTTGTGCGGTGGAAGAGGATTCTTGGACATTGGTGCCCATAATTTCATCAAATTCACTTAATTTGGGTTTTTTTTTCTCTGTTTTCAGGCTCAAACTGACAAAGCCCTTGGGGATTAAGCCCTGTTTAGTCTTTCCCTGGGGTTTACTGTACATAGACTTCATTGGAAGCATGGGTACGTGCAACCCAGTGACACACAAGCACAAGTGTACAAGTGTGACAGTGCTCTTTCCCTCATTGTGCAAGACATTCACTGAAAGCTGCTATTTTCATTCACCTTGTAATTGTCCCTTAGGTTTTTTTCTACGTTTCCTTTTTTACATGTGGGGTATCCACCATGTGTTAAATATGCAATAAATTGTTTACAGGATGCTCTTGTGAAGGGTAGTCCTTTGTAAAGCTGTACAGACTTTGCAGTTTAAGCACAATGTGCACACGTTAGTTTTATATACAGCCAGACATGACTTTTTGCAGCGGGAAAGGTTCTACTATGTTTCTATACAAAGTAAATGGCTCAACGTTTGTTTGTGCTTCATGTAAAGCTGCTTTATAAGACTGTAAAATAAACTTTTCTATCTTAAGACGGACACGGGGCGTCTTCGTTCTTCCCCTCGGTACCTTCTGCCCTGGGCATGGTCACAGGTGAGCCCCCGTGAGCTGCTGTCTTACTGGGATGGAGATGGCTCCTTTTAGAGCATCCCAGAAGGGTTTAATTGTAATGAAGGTGGAAAGCATGGAAATGGGTTTTTGAGTGTTAAAGAGTTTGGTGGCTTGAGGTGCCTGCAGGAAACCTGGAGAGGGGCTTTGGGCAAGGGCCTGTAGGGACAGGCCAAGGGGACTGGCTTTAACCTGCCCGAGGGGAGACTGAGATGAGCTCTTAGGCAGAAGCTCTTCCCTGGGAGGGTGCTGAGGCGCTGGCACAGGGTGCCCAGAGAAGCTGTGGCTGCCCCATCCCTGGCAGTGCTCAAGGCCAGGTTGGACACAGGGGCTTGGAGCAAGCTGCTCCAGTGGAAGGGGTCCCTGCCCATGGCAGGGGTTGGAGCTGGAGGAGCTTTGAGGTCCCTTCCAACACAAACCAGGCTGGGATTCTCCTGAATTCATCTCACTGAGTTTCTGTGATATTTAATATATATATATTTAATAAATATATTTAATATGTATTAATATATATTAATAGATTTAATATATATCTAAATACCACTTTATAATTGACTAAAAACATCCAAACAAAGATGAGAGGCTGAGGTTGCCTCTAACATGCACGAAGGGCACTGCTCTCAATTCCTATTTTCAGTTAACACCATGCAATTCCTATCAGAATTCCCACAGGAATATTGGGATTGAGGTCCCCTCTGCCTCAGCCACCCCATGCCTGACATGATGCTTCCCACCTTGATGCAGAAGGTGGTCAATGGGAAGCTGGCTGTGAATGGGACCAGGATGCCACCTTTGACTTGGCCAGGGCTGATTTTGCCTCTCCCAGCTGCTTGGGTGAAAACCCCCATTTTCAGTTACTTAGCAGTTAGTTAAAAACATGGGAATTGGAAGTAGAAGTGGATTGGGATGCGTTGTCTTGGTGATGGATTGCAGTGTTTGCTGCTCAGTTTGTGGTGCAAGGCCCCATCTGCCTGGAGTGACTGATAACTCCCCTGCACCTCCGGAATGCTGAACACCCTCTTCTGTCCCCTCATCTCCCCCAGGCCCAGCAGGAGCTGTTCAAATGCCAAGTGCTCCCTGTCTCAGCCCGTTAACCGAGGTGGAGGTTTGCAATGGTGGAGGGCAGATGTTGAAAGACACCGTGGAAGCCGGGTCTTCAGGACAGTCAATGCCCTAAGAGCATCTCTCGGAGGAGCTCGGAGGATGCCCGGGATGGAGCATCTTGTGCCATGGTAATAACCACCCTCTCTGTGCTCAGTGCAGGTCCCTCTGCACTCACCAGCACAGATGGGTCCTGCGCATCTCCTGCATCCACCCACGGGGCAGAGGAGTTGCTGCTCCTTTTGAGGTGTCACCACTTTGGACCAGGGAGCTGGTGGCTCCCTGTGCTATGAATACATCGCAGCAAGGTGATGTCTTCTGGTGTGGGTAGAAACAAGAGTCGTGGCTTGGCCTTGAGCACTTGGGGTTCCGCTCTTGCCCTTGCCATGGGCTGGTACCAGGTTGTGCTCTTGGTGGTGGTGAAGAGGAGGTGTCTCTGGCGTTGGTCTGGTTTGGTTTTCCCTCCAAAGCAAGGCTGAACGAAGGATGTTTTCTGGTGGGCAGCTCCTTTGCTTGCTGTAAATGTAATGTAAATGATGTCAGTGGGGCACAGACACGTTCCCTGGGCCCAGGGTGCCTGTTTGTGAGTGAGAGCTTGGCTGGACCTTTCTGGGGGTGAAAAGAGGCTTCGAGGATGCTCAGGAAGGAGCTTGTGGCCTCTTGAGGCCGAGGACGCTGCGAGGACTTGGGGCTGCTCATCCCATGGCAGTGCCATGAGGGACCCCATCCTGCTCCCCCGGGCGCTCCAGTATCCACTATTCCAACCGGGAAGCATCTGTGAGGTCTTATTTCTGCAAAGCCCATTACTGGGAAGGGAAAACAAAAAGCAAATCCAAATGGCATCGCTCGGGTGGGGAATAGAAACCCCTTAATTTGGTCATAAAGAAGCCTCTTGGTTGCAATCCCATCCTTATCCCAAGTCCTCCCAGGGCTTGGCTGGATCCTGTTAAATGCCTCGGTATTCCAGTGTGGCTTTTTTGTTTTCCCTGGGCTGTGCTGGAACAATGAAATGTCAGCAGGAGCAGCAGGCGGTAAAAGCCACTTCCCTCTGGGATGGGAAATGGGAATGGCTGTGGGTGCTTAACCCGGGATGAGCTGCGGAAAGGGATTAAATACTGACAGTGAGTGCTGCTCGCTGTGATGCACTGGCTTGTGTGGAGCCGTGCGCATGCAGGGCAGCGCCTGGAGCTCCAGGGAATGATGAGGATGAGGGGGTGAGGAAGCACTTCCCAACTGTAGGTTTACACTGGGAGCTGGGTTCCTGCACTGAGGATGCTGGGGGTGATGCTCCCTGTGGAATCCCAGTGCTCCAGCGAGGGTTTGGCTCCTCCTCAGCACCCACTTCCCTCCCCGTTGGTTTTCCAGAGCTGCTTCTCCACCCTTCCTGCAGCATCATCCCTGCTCCCTGCTGCCAAACCCCAGAACGTGATGGTACCGTCAGCGCTGGCGCCTTCCCCATCTCGTGCCCCATGGGCAGAACCTGTCGGTGCACTCATTCTGTAATTAAAAGCATTAATTAAGGCAGCTGGAGCCAGGAATGTCGCAGGAGCTGGGATGTGCCAGCGGCCAGGACTGGCTCCATGCAGGACTGAGGGTCCTGGGGAGGTGGGGGGGGGATTTTGACCAGATTCCCCTTTATCCATGAGGCTGGGCCACCTCTGTGCTCCTCACATCGTTTTCCAGATGTGGGGGTATCCACCGGGAAGGGAGGAGATGCTGGAGCAAAGCTGGAGCTGCTCCACGGTCCCTTCCCAGGTTGGACACAGGGGCTTGGAGCAAGCTGCTCCAGTGGAAGGGGTCCTGCCCGTGGCAGGGGTTGGAGCTGGAGGAGCTTTGGGGTCCTTTGAACCCAAGCCATTCCACGGTTCTATCCCAGCGGATCAGTGCAGCCCGAAGGAGCCTGCTCTCCCTTCCTCACAGAGGGCACCTCCTCAGGGCAGCCGCGCTCATCCCTTCCCTCCTGGGCTGGTTCCCCCCTGTGGAGCCACCACGTCCCTTCCATGGCCCCATCCATGGGCATCCCCAGGCAGCCTCCGGAGCCGCTGCCGGGAGCTGCGGCGGGAGCAGTGGTTGATGTTTAACTGCGCCCTACCCTGCAGGTTTAATTGGCCTCATTTAATTCCTCCCTGTGCTCTCCATGCTCTATGCATCACCTCCAACCCCCCCCCGTGTCCGGCTCCCGCAGCGCAGCTCATGGAAGCCATGGAACCAACCGGGTTGGAAAGGAGCATGGACCCCATCAGGTCCATCCCTTACCCCAGCCCTGAGGCCTCGTCCCCACGCTGTGCGAGCACTTGCAGGGCCGGTGACTGCAGCCCTGCCCTGGGCAGCCTGTTCCAATGCCTGCCCAGCACCCATGGGTGCCCATGGAGGACAAAGGCTCCCGCTGCACCCTCTGCTGCCCTTCAGCAGGGGCACCTTGGCAACGGGCGTTGGCACAGCCACAGTGCAAACACCCGCAAGGGGCAATCCCCAAGGTGACAGCCGCGGAACGGGAATGCGAGGGTTTGATTGTGCGGCTCCGGGCTGGGTTTTCCCAACGGAAGGGATTGAGCCGTCTGTAAAGGTGGGGGGGGGGGGGGTGAGCTGGGGCTGCTCCGAATGGAGCCAAGCAGCAATTCCAGGCCTTGTGCTCATCGGCACGAAGCGGAGCTGAGCTCCTGTTGTGTGGAAGCGCAGAACATCCATGGATGACCCTGGGCTTGCACGACGAGTTCCCAAGCCCCTGCCTTGGGGGATGCGGACGCCACCGCTCCTCAGGTCCACCGGGAGCTGGCCACTGGGTCAGCCTCCCACACGGAGCAATGGGCTCAATCCCAGCCCTGGGCATCCCCCGTGGTGGGAACTGCGCCCAGAAGGGGCTTGTGGATCCCTGGAAGCCGCTAATCCGGTGGGAAGCCGGCAGGGGAGGGTTAACGCGCTCACACCAGAAACTGCTGTGAGTTGTGATTAGAATGCAGGGCAGCGCAGTGCGCTCGCCAGCCCGGATTCCAACCGGCCCCATTGCTTCTCCCTGCGAGCAGCACATTCCGCTTGGCTCCGGGAGCTACTGAATAAAACAGGAGCAGCACCCACGGCCCCGGCTCTGCTCCGCTCTTGTGCAACGCGTTACCAACGGCTGCACCCGCACAGCGGGGAGGGGAAGGGCAAATGCGCTGGGTTTGCAAGCGGGTGGCTCCTGCTCCGTGGTACCCAAGGGGACCCCATGGCCCGTGGCTGGGGTCATCCGTGCATCCATCATCAGTGCATCCAGACTGAGGACTCTTTGGGAGCACCAGCGGGAGGGTTTTAACTCCCTCCGCGGGGGCAGCTGAGCAGGTCCGGGGTGAGCCCGGGTGCTGAAGCAGCGGGGCCTGTGCGGTGAGGATGCGCAGGGCGCTCTGGAGTTAATGTCTTCCCCGGCCCTATCCCACTTCCTCGCAGCCCGGCTCAAGCTGATCCCGAGCACGACCCGCGAGCGCTTGGCCGCGGCCGTTTCCGGTTTTGTTTTGTTGCCTTTTTCCTGTTCCACTCCGAGAGGAGCCAGAATTCAGTCGCTCCTCATCTGGGATCGCAGCCGGGGCCGCCGGCCTCGTCCTGCCCCGCTCCCGGGATCATCCCAGCGGGAGCCGGCAGAGCCTCCCTGCCCCGATCCCGCCCCGATCCCGCCCTGATCCCGAGCACACCCGGGCCATGTGGAATGTGTTTGTACACAGATGAGTAATAACAGTCGCCCGGAGCCAGCGCCAGGGATAAGGCAGCATCCGACCCAGCCCCGCTCCCGGCGGCGGGGCCGTAAGTACCGCCCGCTCCGCTCTTCCCCCTCGCTCCTGCTGCTTTCCCTCGCTGGGGGCGATTCCTCCCCTAGGGGAAGGTGGCGGTGGGAAGGAGCTGCGTGTGGATGGGGCCGTGCTTTCTGCTCCCTGCCCACCAGCAGCTCGTGGCTGCGCCGCTTGCTCGCAGTTGATGGAAGTTCCACCCAGGAGTGGTTTGGGATTGGGATGAGGAGCTGGGAGGGGGGGGCAAGGAGCTCAAACCCGTGCCCGAGCCGCACTGGGTTCGGACAGCCTCAAACCCATGCGTGAGCCCGGAGCTGCTCGCCCCAACCCTGAGCAGACACCGGCAGCCGCCCGCAGCAGCAGCAGCTCCCACAAAGCCGCTGTTGTTCTGCTGGGAGAGGTCTTGGCACGTCCCGTTCCCGAGTGCTCGGAGGGGCCGGGCTGCTCGTTCCCAGCCCTTTCCCTGCCCCGCCGTAAGGAGCAGTGAATCGTTAACTGCTCGGTGCTGTCCCTGCCATTAAAAGTCAGCGGCTGGTGCTGGCACGGGAGCGGTGCCATGGGCAGGCGGTGCCATGGGGCTGAGTGAAGCTAAGCCCATGGAGGGGCAGTGATGGGGTGACGGGGGATGTGTCAAGGCTCCTTTCATCAGGGACAAACCACAGCCTTTAATGGTGACAGGAAACCTGGAGAGGGGCTTTGGGCAAGGGCCTGTAGAGACAGGCCAAGGGGAATGGCTTTAACCTGCCAGAGGGGAGACTGAGCTGAGCTCTTAGGCAGAAGCTCTTCCCTGTGAGGGTGCCGAGGTGCTGGCACAGGGTGCCCAGAGAAGCTGTGGCTGCCCCATCCCTGGCAGTGCTCAAGGCCAGGTTGGACACAGGGGCTTGGAGCAAGCTGCTCCAGTGGAAGGGGTCCCTGCCTGTGGCAGGGGTTGGAGCTGGAGGAGCTTTAGGGTCCCTTCAGCATAACCCAGGGTAGGATCGCGTGAGGAGGAGGCAGGGGATGAGGATGAGGAGGATGAGGATGGGGCAGGGGGGTGCTCGCAGCCACCCCGGGGCTCTGACGTGGCCCTGCGGTGGAAGGGCTCGTCCGGAGGCGGGCCCGTGGGTGCGCCCGGCGCCGGTGACTCAGAGCCCTCCGCACCTCTGCGGGGCCGCACACAGGGACCGGCCCCGGCTCGTCCGGTTGTGCCGGCCGCGGGGCTCCGTGCAGGGCTCGCTGCAAGCTCCCGGCCTGAGCGCTGTTACCGGGGCGCCCCGCGCTGCCTCCCCGGGGACAGGCAAAGGCAGAGCGGTGCCGGCTGCCCCGGGCCTCTGGAGCCTGCGAACACCGCCAGCAGCTCCCAATCCCTGCCCTCACTCCCTGCCCTCACCCACTGCCCTCACTCCCTGCCTCCATTCCTTGCCTTCACTCCCTCCCCTCACCCCCTGCCCTCACTCCCTCCCCTCACCCCCTGCCCTCACTCCCTGCCCTCACCCCCTGCCCTCACCCCCTGCCCTCACCCCCTGCCCTCACCCACTGCTTTCATTCCCCACCCTGACTTTCTCCATTCATTCCTCACTCCCACTCCCTGCCCTCGCTCCCTCTGTCCCAAGGAAGCCCCCGCAGCATCCCCATCCCCATTCCCCCATGGACAGGAGTGGGAATAGCGCAGGGGCCGCAGGCTCCGCACTGGGGCAGCTCCCGCACACTCCAACAGCCGCCGGGAAGGTCCCGATTTAAGTCTTAATCTTTAACCAAAGCGGCTCCAGCTTCGCTTTAGGTCGGGTTTTAGCTCCGCTGCCTCGTTAATCTTTCCCCTCCCGTAGCCGCCCCCAGCCACCTCCCTCTCCCCGGGCGCTCCCATGCAGGAGCCTGCGGGGCTTTGCCCCTGTTTGCTCTGGAGCTGCGCGGACACGCAGGGCACGGGCAGGAGGAAGAGCAGGGGGAGGCAAAGGGTAACGGCAGGGCCCGGGAAAGGGCAGCAATGGGGCTGCGGTGGGACCAGCAGCAAGGGCCACGGGTGCTGGAGGGGGAATCACGGCACGTCCCGGGGCGAAGGTGCGGGATGGCGGCAGGGAATCACCCAGGGGGGGCTCCTTCCCATGGACTGGAGGGTTGCAGGGAGCCGGGAATGCTGTGCTGGGCAGGAGGGGGCAGGACATCCTCCTTATGCCACCTTTATTTCACAGCCCCGAGGTGGAGGCACAGGAGGGAGAGGTGGCACCACCATCAGCAGGTAAGGGATGGAGACGTGGGGCTGGAGGAGCTGCGCCATGGTGATGGGATGTTCAATGGGGAGCTTCCCAGAGGGGACCTGCAGCCCCCAAACCCATGTGCAGGGCGTTCTGGGTGACCTCGAGGTGCTCCAGGATGTGGGCGCTGATGGGGTGATAACAGGGATTCCAGTCCCTCTGGGTGGTGGACATAGGGGCATGCTGCCTTTTCTCCCCCTGCCCCTTTTGGATACAGGATGCCATCTCCTCTCCCCATGCCATGGGATCCCTGCAGGAAGCATTTGCCACGTGTGGGTTTGGGATCTCCCAATGAAACACAGTGCTGCATCCCCACTGATGCTTGTCTCCCCCAGGCCACCCATCCTGAGCCCAGAGAGCATCACTTCAGCCATCTCCATCCCATCGCCTCCCCGGTGGGGTGTGAGATGGGTTCAGGCAGGATGTGAGGCACCTCCAGGGCTCTCCACAGGGAAGCTGAGCCGAAAGCAGCCCTTGGAGCTGGATCCTCAACCCACACGATGCTGAGCATCAAGTTACCCCGGCTGCTCAGCATCAACCAAGTGCCTAAGGTCAGAGAGGAGCTTTCCTTCCCCAAGCCTGAGGTTTGGGAGGGTTTTTGTTGGGGGGGGGGGGGGATAAGTGGGAGCAGCGTGTTCGGTGTCCATACCCCTTGGGAAGGGCTCAGTCCCTCCATGGGAGACCCAGTTCTGTCCTTGCAGCAGGGCCCGGGTCTCCATCCTTTCGGCACCCTTAAACCTTCTCCTCCAATGCCCCCCTCCCCGTGCCCTGCAGGGGTACCAGGAGCAGGGCATCCTCTTTGGGTATCGCCCGCCCCGGAGCTCGGCAGCTGACTGCCTCCTCAGCGTCTTCCAGATGACGAATGAGACGCTCAACATCTGGACACACTTTGTGCCTGCCTGGTGGGTACCATCCCCTGGGGCTTCAGCATCCACGGCAGAAGGGGGTGGTCTCCATGGGGAGACAAAGGAGCAGGGATGGGGACCCCCGTGGGTGCGATGCTGTTCTCTGTCCCGTAGGTACTTTGTGTGGACCCTGGTGGGGCGGCTGCAGGGCCCAGGGGGCCGGGAGGACCCCAATGCCTGGCCCCTCCTCGCCTACCTCCTGACCTGCTGCATCTACCCCTTGGCCTCCAGCTGTGCCCACACCTTCAGCACCATGTCCACCCGCACCCGGCACATCTGCTACTTCTTTGACTACGCTGCTCTCAGCATGTACAGCCTGGGTAAGGGTGGGTGGGCAGGCAGAGGTGTCCATGGGTGCTGGTCCCCAGGGCGGCGGGAGCTGCAGCATCAGGCTGGGTGCTCAGGTGGCTCCTACCCATGGGACAAGCAGAGATGGAAGCTGACTGTGTGCAGTGTCCGTTTCTCCTCTTCCTCCTCCCTGAATCCTGGTGCTTGGACAGAGCCTTGGGTGACATGGTCTAGTGGAAGGTGTCTCTGTCCATGGCAGGGGGTTGGAACTGGATGATCTGAAGGTTCCTTTCCAACCCCAACCAGTCTGTGATTCACCTATGATACCACTACAAACAGTAACTGGGGGCTGGGTTTTGTACTGGGCAGTCCTGGGATGGAGGCCTGGCTCTGCAGTCCTTGCAGTAAAGTGAATAAGGGTAAAAAAGCAGATTGAAGACAAATGCTGTCGGTGAAGTCAATGGCACCTCTCTGGGGACAAGCCCAGGGGACGCAGCAGCACCCACCAGGGTCTTTGCACGGCCCACGTGCCTCTGGTTCCCCATGGAAGAGCATCTGCAGGAGCTGCTTCTGGGAGCATCTCCTGATGCTCCCCTCGGCCCCCTTCATCCATCCCTCCCTTTCCTGATGCCAAACCCAAGCTCAAGGGTTCACAGCAGCTCCCATGGGTGCTGGTGGGACCGGAGCTCACCGGATTCCTCCCGCGCTCCCAGGATCCGCCCTGGCGTACTCGGCGTACATCTTCCCGGCGGGATGGGTCGACAGCACCTTCCACCGCTGCTACGTGCCCACCGCCGTGTTCAACACTGTCGTCAGCACCAGCCTCTCCTGCTACTCCAGGTGAGCTGCTGCTCTGCCCTGAGCTTGCTGCAGCATCCTCGCTAATGGGTGCCGTTAGTGACGGGTTTCAGTACGAAGGTGAGCCCTGAGCTCAGGACAGGGGGAAAAGGGGACTTTTGGGTCGGAAACGTGTTGCCTGTCGGCACTAGGAGAGTTTGGTGCTCAAAACTGCAACAGGAATGAAGTAGCTTTAATTTGTGGAGGTTTCAAAGGTCGTTTCCTATGGTGCTGCCTGGCAGGAGAACAAGCGGCTGTGTGTCTGTATGTGTGTGTATGCACATGTCTGTGTGTCTGTATGTGCCTGTATGTGTGTGTATGCACATGTCTGTGTGCCTGTATGTGTGTGTATGTGTGTGTATGCACATGTCTGTGTGTCTGTGTGTGTGTGTATGTGTGTGTATGCACATGTCTGTGTGTCTGTATGTGTGTGTATGCACATGTCTGTGTGTCTGTATGTGCCTGTATGTGTGTGTATGCACATGTCTGTGTGCCTGTATGTGTGTGTATGTGTGTGTATGCACATGTCTGTGTGTCTGTGTGTGTGTGTATGCACATGTCTGTGTGTATGTGTGTCTGTATGTGGGTGTATGTGTGTGTATGCACATGTCTGTGTGTCTGTATGTGTGTGTATGTGTGTGTATGCACATGTCTGTGTGTCTGTATGTGTGTGTATGTGTGTGTATGCACATGTCTGTGTGTGTGTATGTGTGTGTATGTGTGTGTATGCACATGTCTGTGTGTCTGTGTGTCTGTATGTGTGTGTATGTGTGTGTATGTGTGTGTATGCACATGTCTGTGTGTCTGTGTGTGTAGGTGTGTTTATACATGTCTGTGTGTCTGTCTGTGTGTGTAGGTGTGTTTATACATGTCTGTGTGTCTGTCTGTGTGTGTAGGTGTGTTTATACATGTCTGTGTGTCTGTATGTGTGTGTAGGTGTGTTTATACATGTCTGTGTGTGTGTAGGTGTGTTTATGCGTGTCTGTGTGTCTGTGTGTGTAGGTGTGTTTATGCATGTCTGTGTGTCTGTCTGTGTGTGTAGGTGTGTTTATACATGTCTGTGTGTCTGTGTGTGTGTGTAGGTGTGTTTATACATGTCTGTGTGTCTGTCTGTGTGTGTAGGTGTGTTTATACATGTCTGTGTGTCTGTCTGTGTGTGTAGGTGTGTTTATGTGTGTCTGTGTGTGTGTAGGTGTGTTTATGCGTGTCTGTGTGTCCGTGTGTGTGTGTAGGTGTGTTTATGCATGTCTGTGTGTCTGTGTGTGTGTGTAGTTGTGTTTATACATGTCTGTGTGTCTGTCTGTGTGTGTAGGTGTGTTTATACATGTCTGTGTGTCTGTCTGTGTGTGTAGGTGTGTTTATGTGTGTCTGTGTGTGTGTAGGTGTGTTTATGCGTGTCTGTGTGTCTGTGTGTGTGTGTAGGTGTGTTTATGCATGTCTGTGTGTCTGTGTGTGTGTGTAGGTGTGTTTATACATGTCTGTGTGTCTGTCTGTGTGTGTAGGTGTGTTTATACATGTCTGTGTGTCTGTCTGTGTGTGTAGGTGTGTTTATGTGTGTCTGTGTGTGTGTAGGTGTGTTTATGCGTGTCTGTGTGTCTGTCTGTGTGTGTAGGTGTGTTTATGCATGTCTGTGTGTCTGTGTGTGTGTGTAGGTGTGTTTATACATGTCTGTGTGTCTGTCTGTGTGTGTAGGTGTGTTTATGTGTGTCTGTGTGTGTGTAGGTGTGTTTATGCGTGTCTGTGTGTCTGTCTGTGTGTGTAGGTGTGTTTATGCATGTCTCTGTGTGTCTGTGTGCAGGTGTGTTTATGCGTGTCTGTGTTTATCCACGTGTGCAGCAGGCTTGCAGGGGAACCGCAGCCTTCTCGCAGCCCGTTGCATCATTCCCAAAGCACGAGCAGCTCCACGTTTGTTCCTGGATGGCATCAGGAAGCTTGTTTGGAATAACTCGAGTTACTGAGTTACTGCGCTGGCTGCCTGCAGTGCGTGCCTGCGAGCCCTCGGCCTGCCTGGGGCTCATTTCCTTCATGGGGAGCCCTCCCTGAAGGCTGTGTTTGGGGAGCACTCGCGTGTCCGTGGTCGCTCATCGCAGCATCACGGAACCCCGGGGGTCTTTCCTCCTGGTGTCTGTCCCCCCCCCAGCACAGGGCTGCGTTTGGATGCTGCTGTCTCGGCAGGGATAAAGATGCTCCTACGCCCTGGTGAAGGCAGCAGGAGGAAATCACACTGCAGGGTGGGCGGCAGCGACACGTCCCTGTGAGAGGGAGAGCGCTGAGCACATCTGGCTCATTGACGTGTCTGCCGAGTGCGAGGGGATTCTCTCACCTTTTGGTCTGTGGGTTACTCGCTGGAGTAGAAGACTTGGTCCTATCCTTGCTATTACTGAGCAGTACTGCGAGCTGAAGGATGTCTCTTGGACCCCTCAGTGCACGAGGCCAGGCAGGGCTTGGTATTTTTTTCCTTATAGTCCTCATTTCTTTCCTTCTTTTTGTCTCTTTTCCTCTCTTATCTTTGTCACGTGCATCTCCGTTGTCTCCTTAGATGGGCTTAGCAAGCGAAGCTCACTGACCATGGTACTTGAAAATAACACAGAGGGAATAATCAGCAACTTGAGAGCAGGCCCAGGTTGATTTGGATTGTTTAAAAGGACAAATACTGCTCTGCAAATTTAACTGCCAGCATCCCCCTGCTCCAGAACCATGCGTACCGGTGTCCCCTTGGCCTGTCCCTACATCCCTTGTCCCAAGCCCCTCTCCAGGTTTCCTGCAGCCCCTTCAGGCACTGGAGCTGCTCTCAGGTCCCCCCTTCAGGAGCCTTCTCCTCTCCAGGCTGCCCCAGCCTCACTCTCTCAGCCTGGCTCCAGGTCAGGGTTGCTCCAGCCCCGCAGCACCAGCCCAGCACAGGAGGGGCTCTGGGCTCAAGCTGAAGCCAGACCAAGGGCAGCTGCTCCAGGAGCTGCGCAATGGGGGTGGCGGTGCCGGGAGGGACCTGCCCGGGCACAGCAATGCTGCTGGGGCTGCTCTGCAGCCGCTCCCGGCTGGGCTCTGCGGGCTGCCGGGGTCACTGGAGCAGGGCACACGCCTGGCAGTGTCAGAGTGATTCGTGCTCACACCGTGCTGAACCCCTGAGCTCCTGCGCCACGGCCACGCGCAGCAGCACAGCATCCTCGGCCTCTTCAATGTGACTGCATGGGAGGCTGCAGCGTGGGGTTTTGGCAGGGACTCGCCAAGGGGCATCTGAAGGAAGGTGTTGATCTGAAGGTCCTTTCCAATCCAAACCATTCTGTGATCCCCGTGCCAGCAGAGGAACCTGAATGGGCTTTTCATGGTGAGAGCAGAGCACACATGGACTCTGCTACATCTCAAGCCATCTGCTGTGAAGAGAGCACTGCGCTGGGGTTATGGTGGCTCTGTTTGGGCAATGTCCTACATCTCATCACCAGGTTTTTCCTGCACAACAAAATGCAGGATATTATCCCCTGCCCAGACATGCACTTTCCTCCTCATCTATGGTATGGCTATAGCCAACAGGCTGCTGCTTCCATTCGAATGGTGATGTCATTGAAAAGTAACTTGGTTAACTCATTTAGGCTGTGATTTCAGTAACTCTCTCTGTGCATTCTCTGCAATGGCAATCACCAAGCCTTGGTAAGGTGTAAAAAAAAAGGAGGCTGTCCCATTTCATGCATTTCAGCCATGAGCTGTGATACAGCTTAACTAACAGGGATGTGCACAGCCTGAACGCAGCATTACCTACCAAGCCTTCCAAGGCAGATGTATTCTCCTGGATTGCTGAGCTCAGAAAGCTCAGATTCAAAACCAAAGAGTGAAAACCTGACAGGGGAGATTTAGATTAGATATTAGGAAATAATTCCTCACTATGGTGTAGTCAGGCCCTGGCACAGGTTGTCCAGAGAAGCTGTGGCTTCTAAATCCTTCCTCCCTCAGCTCAAGGCTCAAGGGTGGTCTCAGCTTTAACCCCCTCAGTGCTGCCCTGCCTGAATTCAGTGTTGACGGGAGGCTGACTGTGCAACGTCTGCACTGCAATCCCAGCAGTGGAATCCAGCCTAATGGAATCCAGCCTAATCCGCAGTGCTGTGCCATGGGAATCACCTCCTCTGTTTCCCTCTAGGTTTCTGGAGGTGGAACGGCCCATGTTCAGCAAGGCTTCCCGCATCCTGGCCTTCGCGTACCCGTACCTCTTCGACAGCATCCCCCTCTTCTACAGGGTACGGCTCCCTGTGGTCACGGCACCAGGGCGGGTTGGGAATATCAACTGCTGCATCTGAGCCTGGAAATACTTGGGAAAATATTCCTTTTCTACAAGGAAAACAAACTCCGGCAGGAAAGGGATTGGGTTATTTTTTCCTGCACCTATTGACAGGCAGATTCCTTCCACTTCAAAGCACCACGCTCAGCCTTGGCCCAGGCTGGAAAGTTACTGCCTCAGAAAGCTGCCAGTTTTCCAGTTCCTCAACTGGAGCAGGATGGGAATCTTGCTGCAATGAGGACTAAGGATGTGTGGGGCTGGGATTTACATGAAATAGAGGTGATGGCTGTTGTATCGAGCCCTGGATCGTGCCCTGGTGTTGGGTAACAGGCAGCCAGAGGTGATGGGGGCTCAGGGAACAGCTCTGCCTCCTTTAACGTGTTGTTCTCCTCCCTTTGCATGGTCCCCCTGTGTGGATGCCTCTCTGCTGCTGCAGTTCTACCTGTGCATGGCAGAGAGCTGCACGGAGGCTGCCATCCCAGTCCATTATAAGCACACTGCTTTTGCCTTCCTCACTTGCTTCATCTTCGCCAGCCATCTGCCAGAGCGACTCGCACCAGGACACTTTGATTATATCGGTAAGTGCCAAAGGGTGGGTTGGAATTGTTTCCTCATTATTTGCAGGGAGAAAGCACATTAATGCACAAGTGATGCCCAGAGGTTATAATTCATTCCCTGCTGGAGATTCAGCATGTGGTTTTACATACGAGATAGAGCAGTCGTGCCTCGGTAAAGCAGGCACAGCTCCAGAAACGTGCTGATTCCAAAATGGTTTAAAAGGGTTTGTGACCACAAAGCACTCATTTCTCATGCAAAACCCTTCAGCTGTGGCCTAGCACTGCTTCACAGTGTCAGGGCACTGCAGGAGCAGCCTCCAAGGAGACTGGATGGCACTCCTGGGGTTTTCCCTGTTCCCCCCCTCATGCCACGCACAAGCACAGTGCTCTTAGTGCTGCCAGGAGCGCAGCAGTGAGCTGCCCAAGGTGACTGAAGGCCTCAGTGAGTGCTTCTGGCTTTGCTGCAGGGCACAGCCACCAAGTTTTCCACGTCTGTGGGATCATCGGCACGCACTTCCAGATGGAAGCCATCATGATGGACATGGCCGAGCGGCACGACCGCCTCCTGCCCTCCTCGCTGCTTCCCTCCTCCCTGCAGACCCTCGCCTCGATGGGCATCTGCATGGCCATGAACCTGGCTGTCATCGGGCTCTGCTCCATGTCCCTGCGCTTCATGCCAGAGCCTCTGCAGAGAGAAAAGCCACACAAGCATTAGGCTTCGGGTCTAGATGGTGTTTATGCTGCTCTACGGGACAGACCCCAAACAAGACGTGGATGGGTGAGGAGTTTCTTCACCTAAACTCTCTGAGAAAAGGTTTATTGAACATTTTCTCAAGAGCAAACCACAATTGCACTGGTTTTGTACATATAGCTTCCAAGCTGGGGACAGATGATGAAATGCTCTTAATCAAGTTGCTGTTTTACCACAAGATGTATTTAAAATACTCATAACTTCTTCTATCAAAGGGAAATAAGTGCTAATACTTCCCAAAGCAATAGGCATTCCCCAGGTCTGCCTTACGGAGCAATCAGGGAGGCAAGGGAACGTGAGCAACGCAGCTGGTCACACAGATGTCCTTGTCGTTGGGTTAAACCAACAGCCAAGCCTCTTTAGTGAAGGCATGACCAGTGGCTTTCCCTGGGGCTCCTTAACTAAGGTTTTCACCTTGAAAGTGGCATTATATTGAGTTTAAAACCTCAAATACCTGTGTTACACAGCCTTACACTAAACCCAAGTGCCTGACACATGTGGAATTGAGACCAGAGTTTGGTTATGTTTTAAATTCAGCTATTTTTAATCATGACCCAAAAAGAGTTATTCCAGGAGAACTCGCCATAGGAATTCCATTCTCCTCTAGAATGGCTTTATTTTGGGTCCAATTCTGGTGCTTAGGTAAATCCTGGGAAATGAATGTCCATGGGGGAGCTGAGCTCCTGCCTGCAGTTGCTCGGTGGTTGATGGAGCCCCAAGCAGAGCATGGGGGGCGCTGTCCTTCCCTCCTGGCACAGACACCTCCGTCCTGGTCATGGCTGGGCTCCTTCTCTAACCTCATTTGTGGTATCAGACGTGAGCTGAGCAAGAAGCAGGAGCCTGTGCAGTGTAGAGCCATGAGCTGTGTCTGATGAAAGGCAGGATTTGGAGTGGCTGATGCATAGGGGGGGTCAAACCCTGTCATTTTAAGGCATTTCCAGAGTTAGACCTCGGCTCACCCAGCATCAGCCCTGCGCTCTGCCTGTCCCTCCTGGCTCTCCTTGCTGCTGTGTCTGGATTTAGCAAGGAGAAGCAGAGTGCACGGAGAGAGCTTGGAGGTGCCAGCTCAGCTGGGATGGAAGCTGTCACCTTGGATTTACCAACACTGCACACGAGGTACAGGAACGTGCGATGCAAAGCTGCCTGCTGGGGAACGGGATCCAGCTCCTTGATAATCATACGGGTGTGCCATTTGTTGGGTGTAGAATTGCCTCTCTCAAGGTATGATTGATGCACTTTTGAGTGACAATACAACGGCTCATTACATCTATCACGGGACAAGGGAGTCTTTTTGGGAAATAGCTTTCTTTGGAAAGCTGACCAAGATTTCTATTAATATTTATAAGCACTGGAACGTAATTGTTTATTCAACAGTTTTATTGCATTAAAAGAGAAAACTAATACAACTGTTGCACTGACCTACACCAGCCTGATTTGTATAGCTCCATATAAACGCTGCCTGTGGAAATTAATCACTCCAGAGATAATTGCTAATGATTGCAAAGCTTATTTACTTGGTGTGAGCGGGATGGAATCTGGCTCCGCGTGCAAGGCGTTATCAAAGAGGCTGTCCAATTTACATATAGTTTTTCTTGGTTGTTTTACTTTTGGATTTGGGAAGTCCTCTCGTCCTCCTCAGGTGACATTATGTGCAGGAAAATGACATTAGAATACATTACACTGTATTCTCCACTACCGTTGTCCCTCTGGATCCTGCAGCGCCTTGCAGGGACCCTTTGTCTGGCACATACTGGATGAGTGAATGTTTGCTCTTGACGCAGCCAGGTTTCTTCTGCAGCTGGAGATGGGCCTTCGAAAACCTATTGAATGTACTAAATTGTATTCACAGAAAGAAATAAAAGCAGTGTCGGATTGTTACGAGTAGATAATACAGGGTATGTATTTATTGGCTTGCACCCCATCCAGAGCAAATCCCAAACAGAACTAAATGACCAGCCACAGCTTCTCTGGGCACCCTGTGCCAGCGCCTCAGCACCCTCACACGGAAGAGCTTCTGCCTAAGAGCTCATCTCAGTCTCCCCTCGGGCAGGTTAAAGCCGTTCCCCTTGGTCTGTCCCTGCAGGCCCTTGTCCCAAGCCCCTCTCCAGGTTTCCTGTAGGTCCCTGCAGCAGCCCCATCTCATCAGTGGTAGGCTGCAGGGTGAAGGTGGTGTGATGGTGGGACTGCTCGTGGGGCGGTTGGGTCCCTTTGGCTCTTTGGATCCTTGACGTGTGCTCTGAGGACATTCAGAAACTCAGGTGTTTCAGTGTATTGCCCATCAGCATTTGGAAGTGAAGCTCGGCCCACAGCACTGCTTCTGCTCGTGCTCCCGGTAAAGAATTAGAGCCAGCGTGGTGGCATCGCTTTGGCTTCACTCATCTGCTTTTCCCTTAGGGGGTAAACTGACTGAATTGAATTAATTTGCACCGAACCAGACCTGTCTGTGGTTTAAGGGCGGCTGAGCTCAACGCACCGAAGCCTTCAGAGCTGCTGCCCAGGGCTTAAAGCCAAGCGGCTTCATCCTCCAGCCCCTCCGAAGGGCACGCGGATGGAGCCGTGGGGCCGGGATTCTCACCCACGGCTCACCTCCACCTTACGGGCCTTGCTCCGCGGCCGAGCACTTCCTCCAGGCTGGGAACGAACGGGTTCACCTCCGGGCAGGCCGCGACCCGTTCTGTCCGTGTCCCTGCGCAGGTGGAGCTGGCTGGGGAGGGGGAAGAGCCGCTTCCCGGTCCCTGCGGGGCACCACGGCGCCTTCGGCCGTTCCCCTGCGGCAGGGCCGAGCTGCGGGCCCAGCGCTAGCTCCGCGCTCGCCACAGGCCGCAGCGAGCCCCCGGCCTTTCCTCCGCGCCCGGGTCCCGCTCGGCCTCAGCGCTCCGGGGGGCGTCGGGGCAGGGCTCGGCCCCCCCCCCCCTGCTCCTCCGGGCCAGCAGGGGGCAGCCGGGCTGCGGGACGCACCCGATGGCGTCGTCATAGCAACGCTTGCGGCGACGCCCTTACGCAGGCGCGCTGCTCGGCGACGTGCGCGCTGATTGGTAGATTTAAATCGCAGAGAGCGCGCGGGTGGCGGTTGCGGTGGAGCAGAGCGGGGCGGGCAGCGCGGCGGTGGGCGCCGTCTATCGCGACATGTGGCCCCGCGACATGAAGGCAGCGTGAGTGTGACCCCGGCCTCCTTCCCCTCGGCCCCTGCCCGGCCCGTGGTGGCCGCTCACGCCTCTCCTTCCCTCAGTAGAACGAGGACGCCGCGGAGGCCGGTGCCCAAGAAGCCGTCGAACCCCTGCGTGAGGGATCCCGTGGGGGTGAGTGCGGGGCTCCCAGGGTTGCGGGGGCCCTCCGGGGCCGCGCTCCCAACGGGCCCCGTGCCCCTCTTCCCCCCGTGCCCAGGTGTACTGCAGGGTGAGGCCGCTGAGCCGCCCGGACCAGGAGTGCTGCATCGAGGTGATCGATGAGACCACGGTGCAGATCCACCCGCCCGAGGGATACCGGATATTTCGCAACGGGGAGTACCGGGAGGTAACGGCGGGCGTCGGGGGAGAGCTCGGAGTGGGGGACCTCGCCTTGGGGCTGGGCGGGAGGGGATGTTTACCGGCCTGGAACTGAGGCTTGAGGTCTTTCACCCCGCTGTCAGTGCTTGGTGCTGGCTTGGGGTATCTCTAGTGTGCAAATCGGCAGCTTCTGCTGTTAGAGAAGCGTATTTTCAAACCCAGAAAACCACCTAGAGCAAAGCCACCCATTGCCTTAACTGTCCAATATGGTCTCTGTAGACAAAAAGGCTTTTTCTGCGGGGTAGACGAAGGGTAAAAGGAATGTAAGTGAAGTGGGAAGAAGCTCTTCCCTGTGAGGGTGCTGAGGCGCTGGCACAGGGTGCTCAGAGAAGCTGTGGCTGCCCCATCCCTTGCAGTGTTCAAGGCCAGGTTGGACACAGGGGCTTGGAGCAAGCTGCTCCAGTGGAAGGGGTCCCTGTGTGTGGTAGGGGTTGGAGCTGGATGGGCTTTGAGGTCCCTTCCAACCCAAACCAGTCTGGGGTTCTGTGAAATGTTTACGTTTCTTGAAGGACTAATTGAAAGAAACCAGCTCTAAACTGAACTAGACACAAATGAATTAATCCTTGATTTATCCTGAGCAGATGTTTCCTAGAAAAGGAGGGTTTGGGCCATATGTGTAGAATGGGGAGCCAGAGCAATGTAACTCTGGACAGGAAAAATGAAGGCTTAAAATGATATAACTTCTATTTCCAGACACAATATTCCTTCAAAGAGGTGTTTGGTGCCCTTGTTGTTCAGAAGCAGCTCTTTGATGTGGTGGCTAAACCGCTAGTAGAAGATCTCATTCGTGGGAGAAATGGTAAGCAAGAACTTGTTCTCTGCCACTTGCCTGTCTGCCATGCAGTTTACTATGGTACTGTGACTTCACGTGTCTCCAGGTTTCTTAGGTTGCCTGGGTAAAAATGTGTATCTCGTTTGCCATGGACTAGTTGTGGTTCAGCATCCTTGGAAGCTTTTGTTGCCTTTCACTGCATCTAAACCCATTTACCCTTGTGTGTTACTTTACTGTTAACTGTTAAACAGGAGCCATTGATTTTCCCAAATACGTTTGACCCAGTTTCTGAACTGTTTCTTGACACAGCAAGCAGGATTGACTCTCTTTCCTGTCCCTTCTAGGTCTCCTTTTTACGTACGGTGTGACAGGCAGTGGAAAAACACACACCATGACAGGCTCTCCTGGTGATGGAGGACTTCTCCCTCGGTGTTTGGATATGATCTTTAACAGCATAGGACCCTTCCAGGCCAAGCGATTTGTGAGTGGTTTTGTGCTGAATTCTCCACTCTGTTGCCTCTAACAGCTTAAATCCACTATTAAAACCTTCTGTTCCAAGTGTCTCCTGTCCAGTCCTGTGGCTGGAGCACTTTATAAAAGAAAACCAACCAAAAAGAACTCGCACCCTTGAGAGTGAGCTGGGCTGGGGAGGCAGATTTGGTAACTAGGATGGACATTCCATAAAGATGTATGGTGTGGCTGGCCTCATAATAATTGCTCACTCTTTAATTAATAACAAAAAGAGGAAGCTTTCTGGGTTACGGACAGAGATCTAGCCACAGGATACAAAGCCACAGGAAACCTTATCTAAAATAATATAGATGTGAGACTTTCCTCGTGGTCAAACATATCTGGATTTTGGTATCTAAATATATTGGAAATAATACTGCAAGTCTTTTCCTTGCTTGTGTGCAGCTTGGGAGCTTCTGTGGCTTGGTATCTCAGGAACACCTGGTTTCTGTCAGATCTACTTCACGTTAGCTAGCAGACAGAATGTTAGTGAGGGGCATGAGGTGTGTTAGACATGGTGTGTGTTAGACATGGTGTGTGCCAGGCAGCTTGACCAAACAATTTGGTTTGCTGCCCAACACTTATGTTCTCTAATGCTTGTTGTTGTATTGTCTAAACATACTTACTGCTCAGGTTTTTAAGCTTGATGACAAGAACGGTGTGGAGGTTCAGTGTGAAGTAGATGCCCTATTAGAGCGCCAGAAAAGAGATGCCATGCCTATTCCAAAAACTCCATCGGGCAAGTAAGTTGCTATTGTAACACGCAGAATGGATTTAGTTCCTATATTCTTATATCCTTATATCCTTATTCTGTTGTTGTGGGTTTAGCTTATCTTGGTCTCTTTATCCTTCCCTTCGAAAAGAAATAAACACAAATATTAATGGGAAGTTAGGATATTGCATGTGGCTTGAGGAGTTGTATAAGTGTTTAGATTAAAAGACTTGGAATCAGGTGACAGAAGTCTATTTTTTGCACCTGTTAACCCAAGTGTAAGTGAATTTACTGGGTAGGAATGCTGTGAAGTTAAACTTGGGGGTATTCTGCAAAGTAGTGATTTGCTGAAAGGAGGATAGGAGTGTTGACTGGGATTTTGCAAGGCATTTCTTGCTAACACCAAGTCCAGCAGTGTCAGATGGGAGTTTATCTACTTAATTTTCACACTGCTTTTTTTAATGCAGTGTCGCTGGATGTGCTGTCGTGAGTTGCTGGTGTGAGCATTTCCCTACTCAAAACATTTATCTGTCAGTAGATGTGCTTTTTCACTGCCTTGTCGCTGGCTGCGGGTGCTTCATTGCAATCACTTCTTGTGTGTGTCCAACAGGCGACAAATCGATCCGGAATTCGCGGATATGATCAATGTGCAGGATCACTGCAAAGTGGAAGACGTTGATGAAGATAATGTCTACAGTGTCTTTGTCTCCTATATTGAGATCTACAACAACTACATATATGACCTCCTGGAGGAAGCTCCCTTTGAGCCTATAAAACCCAAGTTAGTTTTATGAATATCATTAGTCCTACTTTAGCTGTGCTTTTGCAGGAGCTACAATATGGCTTTGCAGCTGGAGTCTTGGCAAATGTGGCTCAATTCACGGGAATCATTTAAAAAAGCACATGAAAAAGGTGATGGCAAAGGAGGCCAGACAATAGTATTGAAGTGTGCCAAGTGCTGATGGTTGTTCTGCTGCTAAGACTTGGCACTCCCTTCCCTGTTATAATGGGAGATTAATATGCAAATATTTAATTTGTTAGGCAGTGTGTTGTATCCCACTGAGATTCTAAATCTCTTCATGCTATTCTGTGAGTACTATTCCTAGCAGGCGACTGCCACTTGGAGTCAGCCGTTCCTTAGCTGACACTTTATTTTCCTGGAAACAGTGTATTGGATGGAAGTTGCTGTTTTGTTGATTTATAGTTAGTGCTAGTTTGCATAGGATTTCTCTTGATGCCAGTAGTTTCCCATGGAACCAGAAAGGGATTGTCTCATAAATGAAATTCTTGATATTTTTGGGGACGGTCTGTACTTGACTGATGTCTAAAATTCATCCTAAAATCGGTGAATCTTGAAGCTGTCAGAAAAAGCAGTCTGCAGATCAGACTTTGGGTACATTGGTTTTAATCCTAAAACCATTAAAGCAACCCCCCTGCCTGCCCATTGGTACATGTCTTAATTAAAGAGTTGGCTGATTTACAAAGACTAACTAGAGCAAAACGTCAGGAGCTGTCTCCAGGGCACTGGCTGGAAAAGGGTTTGATTCTCTGGGAATGCTTTTTAAAGAAGTATGAAATTATTGGCTTTGGTATTCTGCTAATATCCAAAAATCAGCCTGTGAGGAATCTTGGATTATTTCTATTTATAGAAGCTGCAGTCTATTATATATGAAACGAGTTTTAGACACAAGATGAATGACTTAATATTTCTTTAACCCTGTTTTTTTGGTAGGTGGAACAATTGCAACACTCCTGTGCGAAATGGTGACTTTATGTATGTGCACAAGAATATTATTGCCAATCCTGAAAAGTGACCTTTCCTTTTAGTAGAAGCAGAAAGCAAACTTGACCGGCTCTCTGTCTCTTCTTGCTTTCCTAGCAAATATAGAACACTGCTGAAGCCATCTTGCTTCTGTGTGCATGTAGAAAAACAATAGCTGCCACCCAAACCCGTGATTTCTAGTAAGAATTGCAATTAAACGTAGCTTCTCAATTAAAGCAGTAGCTGAAGTGTAACTAATCTTGGCTGAGTGTGTGTCCATGTACTTGTACTTCCTCTTCCATCTGCTGTATGGATAATTGACCTATTCAGTCTGAGTTTTGTATTTAAACAAAAGAAAATTTCCATGACAATGTATTATACCAAAAACTCAGTTCTGGTGGTGTCTATTTCTTTTGTTTCCTCCCTGTCCATAAGACCTCCACAGTCCAAAGTGCTTCGTGAGGACCAGAATCACAACATGTATGTAACAGGATGCACCGAAGTAGAGGTGAAATCTACAGAAGAAGCTTTTGAAGTGTTCTGGCGAGGTGAGTCTTGGACTCTAACATCTGAAATGCAGTGCAGATGTGTAATCCTTTACCCTAACATGTTGAAAACAGAATGGCTTTTGCCAGGTGGTGAGCCTGTGAGGTAAAACAGGGGCTTGGAAGGATTGTTTCTGTTCTAAACAGGTCAAAAGAAGAGGCGGATTGCAAACACTCAGCTGAATCGAGAATCCAGTCGTTCTCACAGTGTTTTCATGATAAAGTTGGCTCAGGCACCGCTGGATGCAGACGGAGACAACGTGCTGCAGGTGAATTCCAGGGCACAACTCTGTGTGTGTGTGTGCATGTAGGTTGGAAAAGGCAGTGAACCGTAAAGCATGGCCCACCAAAACCATTCCTGTGTCTTGAGCATTTCATCGTGAAGGAAATCAAAGTTATTGAATTTCAAGTCTCTAACAGAATTGGTCTTCTCTTTGTGATGAAAGCAGGGTGTTAAAAGAGAGCACAAAGCTGCTTATTTGGCTTTTACCTCTGCTGCTTTTAATCAAAACCTGTTAATCTAAGAAGTGGAGGGTTTGAATGAGTACAGTTGTATCTGTCTTGTGGCCCAAGACGAGGAGATCTGCTAAACCTGCCCACCAGAAGAGCTTGTGGTACACAGCTTCTTTCATTAAGGGCTATAAGAACTTCCTCAGACTTTAGAGGCAGAACACGCATTCTTTTGAAGTGTGCATACTAGTTTAGGTCTGGGAGGTGAGGGGGAGCTCCCCACTCTGTTAACAGGAATATGTTGCTGATCTTAGCCTAATGTAATTTGTTTTCTGTAACAGGAGAAAGAGCAGATCACTTTAAGCCAGCTGTCTTTAGTTGATCTGGCTGGAAGTGAAAGAACTAATAGAACAAAAGCTGAAGGGAACAGGTTGCGAGAAGCAGGTATGTAACCACCTTCAGACTTCCTGGTAATCATATGCGCTATTAGATCTACTCCTAGAAAAGATGTTGTAGGAAGAATTGAAGTGTCCTGCTATCATGTTCTGTTGTCTTATTTGATGACTTTAAATCCTCTGGCTTGGAAACCAGAAGTTTTTAGTAGCAGTTACTCTGATACTTCAGTTAATTACAGCAATTAGCTGTAACAAATAGAACTTAAATTGAGGCAATTTTGTTCTTAAACTGCTAAATAGTTTAGCAATGTGATCCAGAAAGCTGCTTACAGCATTGTTCTGCCTTGTGGGCTTTTTTTTTTGGCTTTAAGGTAATATTAATCAGTCACTGATGACATTGAGAACATGTCTTGAAGTCCTGCGGGAAAACCAAATGTGTGGAACAAATAAGGTATGCAACCCCTTATCTAATTACCTATTGACTTGACAAACATCTGGTGTAATGAAAGGTTTCTACGTCTTTCATATACTTTATTTTCAGATGGTTCCATACAGAGATTGCAAACTGACTCATCTCTTCAAGAACTATTTTGATGGTGAAGGGAAAGTGCGTATGATTGTGTGTGTTAACCCTAAAGCTGAGGACTACGAAGAAAGCCTGGTAACTTCCTTGCAGATCTTACCTTGTCCTCTCCTTTTTTCATGTTTGTCACCGAATTCTTCTACTGAGTAGATGTGAGGAATAATAATTTCTGTTGCTTGGGCACTTCATTTAATCAAGTATGGAATAACCTGAGCTGTGTCAGTACAGTTGGTTTTATGGTCCCTTGGGGGGCTGAGGTTGGGAAGGTGTGACTGGGAAGGCTTCTGGATACTCCACTTCAATCCCAAAGTATCTAGTTGAGATTATAGCTTGATAATGCCTCCTCTAATACCTTCATTCACCTACAGTCTCACTTTCCAGCTTCAGGTGGCTTGCCTCTTGGTTAGTTTTGGCGTTCAGCTTGCTTTTGTTCTGTTGTAGCAAGTGATGCGCTTTGCGGAGATGGCGCAGGAGGTTGAAGTGGCGAGACCTGCCGACAGACCCATCTGTGCCCTGACACCGGGCCGGCGCTTCAGGAATCAGGCCTTCAGAGAGGAGCTCCAAAGGAAGCTGGAGATGAGGGGGGGGCCAATAAATGAAGGTAAATGCTAGAATGCTGGGTGGTTACGGCAGGTTCTTTCCTGTTAGCAGTTTCAGGCTATTTTAAAGCAAATTATTTGAGCCTTGGATGTGCAAAAGGAGCTTAGCTTTGAGCCTCCTCTGCAATAGGCACAATTTTCATCCCACAGTGCTACTTGTAGCATAAACCTAGTTACTGTGGAAGTGTTATTGTGGTGAGTTGAATTCATGCTCCTATTATTACAGCTCCTGAAAGGAAATTGTGCTGGGGATGATACTTTGATGTTTTTGTATGCTTAGGGCTCCCTTTAGAAATCGGGAGTAGCCTGGAGGTATTATAAGGCAATGAATTGAGAATGTGACATTTAATCTTGTCTCAGCGCTGTCATCTCTTCTGGAAACCTCGAGTTCTCATTAATAATTCCAAGTTCTGTCTGCTTCATGATACTAAGGAATGAATGATGTGTGGCTGTGCATTGTCAAATGGAGTTTTTCTGTTCTGCAGCTTGCCGACAGACTCTCTTGGCTTTAAATCTTACAGAGACAGAAGAGCAAGCTGTTTCAGAACTGCTTTTGCAGAACTTTCCTCCCTTGCCTTCATGTGAGCTATTGGATATTAATGATGATCAAACACTTCCAAAGTTGATTGAAGTCCTGGAAAAACGCCATAAAATACGACAGTTGTTGTCAGAGGAGATTGCCAAAACTGGTAAGAGTTTGAGCATCAGTTTGGAGCTAGGTTTGGTGCCCTTATTACTACTCAAGGGATCTCTCCTGTATCTTCTGTACAACATGACATATCTTGCCTTGATTGATCATTTAAAAAGCCTTTTCTAAGGTAATGAAATAGCTGAAAGCATTGTTGGTGGGAGAAAACCAGAAGTGCTTTTGACAACGTGGAGATACGGTGAGAAGATAAAATATATCAATTCCCTTGCAGTGCGTGCATTTAAAACAGCGCTGCAAGAATTTGAGTCCAGCGTTGCATCCAAGGAAAACTATGTTCAAGGGAAACTGTCTGAAAAAGAGAAAACAATAGCAGGGCAAAAAATGGAGCTGGAACGCCTGGAGAAGAAAATAAAAACTTTGGAATACAAGGTCAGTTTCTTCCTTGTCTAAAGCCAAGCACCAAGTGTGTCATTTGGCAAGCTGCTTGGTGTCAGGAGTTGCTTGTAAGATGGGTATTAGAAACAAGGTTAAAAGTATTTTGTGGGGAGCTCTTACTGAACGCTTTATGGCTTTCTTATGAGGTGAGGCTTTTCTTAATACATGGAGATGGGCAACTTCAGTTGTAAAATCTCTGAAACTTTGTGGAATGTTGACCATTATCTGGCTATGTTTGTACAACAGCTGATACATTCCAGTACGTGTTAACAGTCAAATAGAACTGGCAATTCTGGGCTTAGGTGGTTGTGCTTCTAAGAAGCATTGCCAAGTCCTTCCTGTCTTCCTCCAGATTCATATCTTGGAGAAAACTACAACAATTTATGAAGAAGACAAACGTAATCTTCAGCAAGAGCTAGAAAGCAAGAGCCAGCAACTGCAGCGTCAGGCTTCGGACAAGCGCAGGATGGAGGCACGATTGCAAGGCATGGTGACAGAAACCAGCGTGAAATGGGAGAAGGAGTGTGTAAGTACACGACTGCATCTGTTAGAAATGTGTAATGGAGTGATGCTGGGTTGTGCCAGCCACCTTGGATTAAGTGAGGGATTTTCTGCTATAGTAGTGTTAAGAGTGGAGATGTGTCTGGCTTTTTATTACGGACTCAGATGTTTTGAGCTTAACTTTTCTATGTGTACAGTGATACGATGAAGTCCTCAAGGACTTCTGATGCCGCTAGAGCAGCTCGCTTAAGCTCTGTCACTTCATCTCAAAATGTGGAATTTGTTCTTTTGGGTTTGTGGCACTAAGATGTGATTCTCTTGTTCCATCGGTTGTCAGTAGAAGCCTCATGTCAGAATTTCACCTTTCTCTGCATGTGAAGTCTTGCTCAGTACTTGACAAGCAATAAGGAAAGGAAATCTGAGGGATTAACTCTTACTACTGCAGGACTCTATTACTTCAGCATCATTGCTTGAACTATAGATAGACGTGTTCCCATTTGTTGTAATTTAGGAAGCAAAACGCTTATGGAATTAAGCATGGTATTATTTTATAATCTGCAAAGTCTTTCTTTGGCTTGACATGTTGTTATTTCCAGTAGCTTGTATCTCGGTGAGGAAGAACTTTGTTTCATGTGGAATATGCAATTCCCTTCAAGCTTTCAGCACCATTACTTGTGCTTTCCTGTAAGGTACTTCATGCTTTTCCTCCCATGTCTTTGTAGGAGCGTCGTGTGGCAGCAAAGCAGCTGGAAATGCAGAACAAACTTTGGGTTAAAGATGAAAAACTGAAGCAGCTGAAGGCCATTGTTGCTGAACCAAAAAATGAGAAGCCAGAGAGGCCTTCACGAGTGAGAGACCGAGAGAAGCCTGTTCAGAGATCAGTGTCTCCTCCACCGGCACCTGTATGTTGCCTTTAAAACACTCCTCGGTACAGGGAAAAGCACAGTTATAAAAATGAGCCAAAGCACAGGCCCCTTCTCTTTAGTGGTTAGAAAATACTTCCCAAGCACAGAATTTGGATGACTTAAACTTGCTTTGAGTTCTTTGTCTCTTGTTGTATTTATCTTTGCCTTTTATCCTTGCTTCTACCTTTTAATACTACTGCTGTTAGAAGAATGCCTGATTCTTAATGCTGTCACTGTAACACAATACCTCTCCAAACCCATGAGCTTGAATTGGCACTGCACCTTGTCAGTATTGAATGTTTTATTGCCTTGAAAGTTGACAGTTCTGTGTGTTCACTAATTCCTTTCCTATTCTCTCTAGCCTCCTAGTAACTCTGTTACTCAGGTCCCTAACAGCCAGCGGCTCGTGAGCAACCCGCAGGTGCACAGACGTTCTAACTCTTGTAGCAACATTTCTGTGGCATCCTGTGTTATGAAATGGGAGCAGAAAACCCCTTTGCACAAGCCTACCAGTGGCACTTCTAATGCAAGGAATAGACAACAAGAACCAGAACAAAATAGAGACTATAACATCTCAAACAGAAGGCGAGGGATGTGCTGGACTGGAGTCACTGAGCTTCCCAGGCATAGAGATGAGCTAGAAATAGAAGAGGATCAATGCCACAGGGTTAGTGCTGCTCCTGTCAAAAGCTCAAAGTAGTGTTGCTCAGTCTGGCTCAAAAACTCGTTACAACTGAGCACACCTAACATAGATGGTAGTTTCCCCCTTATTGTGTTTCTTGCTGGTGCATCGATAGCCCTGTGAGGAGCTCTGAACCAGCTAGACTTTTTGTCTAGCTATAAATGTCCTTGTGTTTTAACTTGTGTCTGTCTCTTCAAACCTGTCTTGCAGCCTGCAATTCACCATAGTCTGTTTGGGCAGCTTAAAAGGTGGTCTTATGAGCCATGCCTGCAAATGTCTACTGGAAACAGTGCTTGGACAAACGTCTTGCATGTGTAACTGTTAACTTTAACCCTCCCAGAACAGTCTTGCTTAACATCTGTGTTAAAACTGAGGCTTTGCTTACAGGTGGGAGACTTCCTTTTCATTAAAGTGATGCATGCAAATGTTTGATTCAGTGGCATCTCTGTCATGTTACAGTGCTGTCACAGTGGCTCAGGTAAATCAAAGAGAACTGCACACCCCAGCCTCTTAGAGAGCTTCTTGAGAGGAGCAAAGTTAATCGTGGTATGATTAATTGCTGAGTGTTCTCAAAATTCCTGGCACTTGCTGGCCCTTTGAAGTGAGGGACAGGCTTTTAAGCAAATGCTATTCCAATTAACTAATACATGAATTGCTGTCAGCAGAGAATGGGGTGCGATCTGTGCCACAGCAAAATGTGACCAGTAATAGCATGAGTTCCAAGGCACCTTGGCAGAATGGTTTCATAAGAAAATCAACTGAAATAAGCCCATGCCCATTAAAATGTATTGAAATGATTGCTTTTTGTAATGGAAGATTTTTGCTGAAAGCCCTGTTTCCCTCTGTATGTTTAATGATGAAGAGCTGCTTTAGACTTATAAGAGGCTTATCTGTAAAGGGTCCAGCCAATGTCGGTGTCTGTTGGTCAAAGAAATCCTAATTGATGCTCATCACGTGAAGATACAGGGGGTGGCACTTGCATTCATAGTTTTGCTCACCATGTTTTAGAGGTCTCCAAAGTGAGCATGTGAATGGGGCAGAGAGAGGCTGCAAATAATCTTTCAAAACCCCATTCAAAGATCTTGAAGGGACCCAGGTTTTTAACTGAGTTTCCAGAGTGTTCTGATTTTCCTGAGCACCTGACAATAATGTTCATCAGATGGAAATGTATGAACTTCTTATGGATTTCCAACAGCTGAGTTGAGAAGCAATAGCACCAGCACAGGGGATGCTGCTTCTGCTCTGTTTACTCAGTGTTAGGTTTTGCCTCCTTTAAAGGTGTTGGGAATCCATGCCCTGCTTGCTTTGCTACCCCCAAAATCCATTTTGAATCATAAATGCATCCATGGAAATGTAATTTTCTCTCTTGTGGTTGGTTAATATGTTCATAGCAATTGTGTTTGATTTGGAAACTTGGAAGGAGCATTACCAAACATAATGATATCCTCCTTGAGGCGACCTTCTTAGGTCTGGAATTGGCAACAGATTGGGTAACAGCTAAAATTCACAAGAAACAGGAATTGGCAGAGAAAGAATCCATTAATAACTCCTTGCAAGGCTCTTTGTAATGGTGCCTTTCAGGATGCACTCTGAAAGCACTTGAGGAAGGAAGCTTTGATCTTCCTACAGACACATCTTAACCAGACCTGCAAAGCTCCCTTCTAAGGAGCTAAGGATACCCTGTGAGTGATTTCCTGTGTGCTGATTTCTCCTGATTCTCTCCCACTCTGCTCAGAGCGCACCTCCAGTTCGGCTCAGACACAGACGGTCCCGCTCAGCTGGGGAGAGATGGGTGGATCATAAACCACCTTCTAATGTGCCCACTGAGACAGTCATGCAGCCTCAAGTGCCTCATGCCATCACGGTGGCAGCTGCAAGCGAAAAGGCTCTAGCTAAGTGTGACAAGTACATGCTGACGCACCAGGAGCTAGCCTCTGATGGGGAGATTGAAACTAAGCTCATTAAGGTAAAGCAAATGCCTTTGTTGGGGACTTGTGACAACTCTGTCAAGCCCCTTTGTGGTGTTACTGGCTTGTGAAAGGGTGTGTTTGGCTTGATCTGCTGTGAGATTTGAATTGAAAGTTCTGTCCTTCGAGGGAGCTTTTAGTGTCTGATGATACTGTTCTTTGTCATTAGTTTCTATAAAGCATTACAAACCCATTTAACTCAGTCACTAGTTTCCCTGAAAGTAATGAAGTGTTGGTTTTTCCTCTAGTAAAGTGCAGTAATCCATTTGTAGTGAAAGAGTTAGACTGATCTTGCAGAGTCAGTCCTATTGGAGTGGTGCTGTTTCATCTCCAGTAGCAGTGTGAGTAACTTGCTGCAGTGATGGATGGTCGAATGCTCCAGGACACAATTTCTCGTAGTCAACTGACAAGCAAACTGGTGAGAGCCCAGGCTTTGAACACTTGCAGTGTTTGTGCCCCACAATGCTGACTGTACTTACCTAAGGCAAATTGAGAGCTCTTTGTAGTTTGGAACAAGAAGGTTTTGATTCATTTTTCCTCTACTCACAGGCCTTCTAATATTGCTTTTTCTTTTTGAGTTTAAAAAACCTTCAATTCTTTCATGTGTGTTCATGAAAACAGTTTTCATGTGAAAGCCAGTGCTGTAGCAATTGTGCTGATTTAGTGACTGTACCTTGTCAACTGCTTTCTGCTTCCCAGGGTGATGTTTTCAAAACCAGAGGTGGTGGACAGGCTGTGCAGTTCACTGAGATAGAGACTCTGAAGCAGGAATCTCCAACTGGGTGAGTTGTGGTGTTAACCTGAGGTTCTGATGCTGCTGGAGCTGTGTAGCTCCAGCAGTGCACATGGAACTGCTTCTGGTCCAAATGATTGGACAGAAGTTGCTGCATCTAACTTGAAATCATGTAAAAGTAATTTGGTGAGGCTTATAGCTACTAGAGCTGCTTTTAAGGCTGGGCTGCTGCTGAGAGTAAAGGATTTATTTAGGAAGTATAAAATGCGTTCTCTTGCATATGAAAATCTGCCAAAATACATGATGCTTATAACTGTCTTCATACTCTTTCAGTCGAAAACGAAGATCATCACCTTCCAATCCTGACCAGCCTGAGGATGCTGCAGACTCGGAATGGACTGATGTGGAAACCAGAGTAAGCTAAAAAGGAAGAAGGGGATTATCTCATGCTTGGTCTGGATGAGATTTTGGGGTAATGCTCATAGCTGTGTTTTGGGGTTAGCCATAGAGACCGATTTTGTGTGTCTTGGCAGTGTTCTGTGGCAGTGGAGATGAGGGCAGGATCAGCTCTCGGACCTGGGTATCAGCATCATGCTCAGCCCAAGTAAGTGCCTCTCTCCTTTTGTAGCTGGGGGATTGTGTTCTCTTTCCTAGTAACATCTAACATGGGAGAGCTTTCTGTTTTTACCCCCTATTGACCTTGCTGCCTTTCCTAATTTAGGTTTGGGGTGCAGAGGCAGGATCATTCAGTGTTGGAAGCTGGTGATGGGATAGACCTGTAGGACACTCCACCCAGAAGACAACTTAATTCTTCTTAAACTCAATATTCTGCTTACTGCACTGAATGCCAGTGGGAACTGTAGGATGCCTGGCATGTCCAGAGTGGAACAGGGCTAGGGATGGCAGTGACTGAGTGCTAATCTGTATTTCCTCTTCTGTCCCCCAGCCTTTATCAGATGCTGATGTAGTAAAGAATACTCATTTTTAATAAATTTCAGTAAATTTCAGCATGGCTTTGGGAGGAGGGAGCTGGGGATGTGATGACCACAGGGTATATCTAATGGTTTACTTGAACACAGCTAATGTTCCAGCTGCTGCCTGCTCTGTCATTATCAAGGCACCTACTAAGGAAGCCTGGGCTCTAGCTGTGCTAAAAGAAACCTTCACTTCAAAGGCATAGACAACAGCCTGAATTCTTCAGGGCTGCCTTTAATGTGGTGGGATCAGTGGCAGCTGCACCCAGGAATGGAAGTTTACCAAGCCACCAGTCCCAGTTTCTAACAGAGTCCAAATGATCCTGCAGTCTGTGAGGCTGGTGCTAACATCTGAGCCTCACATCTAACAAAACATTTCAGTGACCAAGGAAATGCTTCAGATAGGATAGTTCTGTTAAACCAGAGGTTGCAGAGGAGAATTCAATCCAGATTTGGCCTCTTGCAGCTAGGTGCTGGCACTGCTCCGGAGGTGTCCTGTTCAGCTCAGAGGAAGAAAATGCAGTTTTGCAAGACCTTTGCAGCAGGAGAAAGGGCTGGAGAGAGACAAAATGTTTGTGAAGGCAAAATCAACTAAACTCACTGCATTTGGAACCCAGAAAGTTTAGAACTGTGGTGGAAGGGTATTTTGGAGAGTGTCTGAAAGTGTCCCCCTTTCAGATAAGGTGACAAATATGAGCCTTTCATCATGTTAGCATATACTTTATTTCATCTCTTATTGGAGACATGCTCAAGGTGGCTACTGCTACTTGCAGCCTTGCTACAGCCTTGTAATATTGTAGTATATCCTTTAGTTTACCTGTGTATTGAGTTGGAGCTTGTATTTATTTTAGCTTGTTTAGTAACTTAAGCCTTTGTTTTATGCTCACAGCTGTCTAAGAAAGACAGTCAAATACATGTTTCCTGCTAATATCTTTAGTTTAATTTGTTGCATTTCCTAGCATAGGAAGTATGTGAGACTTGTATATACAGCAGGCTAGGTAAATAAGGTATTTATTGTTAAGGAAAATGCTGCTGTGTAAAACCCAGAAGTTACTTGTGGCTTTTCTTTTTCCTTTTCAGGCGAAGAAAACCATGAACTTCATGTGCTGCTGCATTGGATTCCTCTTGATTTTATCAGACTGATGTAATCTCTGCTGCCAATGATAAACCTGATGAAAACTGCTGTGCTATCCCCACAGGCTGGTGTTTTCATAACCTCCTGTGGTAGGCAATGGTTAAATGGGAGATACCTCTTGCAGTCCCAAAGAAGCATGTGCGTGGCTGTGTGTGTTTTCAGTAGATGTATCCCAGACTCCTGAAGAACCTTCTGTCTTGTATGTATTGAGCTGTATCTTTATAGACTAATGAAACAAGGCTTTTGCCTTGCATTTATTTTTCCAGCTTTTTAGAGTGCAAAATACTTCTGGTCACTCTTCCTTGTCAGGTCCTCTGTTTCGAAGAGTCATGCTGCTATTTATTTAGATGCAGTAACGCACTTTAAGAGTGTTTCTATGCCATTTCATATTTTATGTTAACCAGCATGAGCTTGGTAACATGGCTTTCTTCTTGGAAGAATTACCTTGGATTATTTAATACTCAAATCAGCTTGTAAAAAACAATTCAATCTTCAGACTTTCATAGTAATGAAGCAAGAAACCGATGGGTAATGGTGACCTGACATCAGACCTACTTTATATTGTAGTGTAAGTAATTCATGTTTTACATCTGTAGATACAGGGCGAAGGGGTAACTTGCTCACAGATATGGTGAGAACTTTATATATATGTGTCTCTGCAAACCTGTTAAAATAAATACTTTTATTCAGTGGCTCTTACAAAGCATGTTCTTGTTACTTGGGGGCATGTGAAGCTACAGCAACTAAGGTAAGCACCACAGCATTTTGACAGTGTCTTGTGCAGAGCTGTCGATGAAGGCACTTTTTGGGGTGCATCTAAAGTTTAAGGAAGCTGCTTGATTAATAGTAATCAAAAGTTTAAACCAATCTAAGTTTAGTTTAAAAAGTTTTAACCATCTAAAAAGTTTAAACCATCTAAAGTTTAAACCAAGGAATCTGCTTGATTAATAATAATCTGCTTGATAAATAATAATCAAGCAGATTCCTTGGTTTAAACTTTAGATGCATCCCAAAAAGTGCTTTCATCAACAGCTCTGCACAAGACACTGTCAAAATGCTGTGGTGCTAACCTTAGTTGCACCTTAGTTGATTAATAATCAAGCAGATTATCTGCTTGATCAATTATAACCCCAAGATATGTTTTGGACAACCTTATCTTTGTGTCTGCAAACTGCTTTCGGGGCAGTTGGTTGCGTTTTGTGAGTGCCTTGTTGAAAGGTGTTGAAGCTTTGAGCTTTTTCCAGTGTAAGAAAAAGCTTTTCTTCCCAAGCAGTTAAAACCCCATTTTTCTTGTAAATCCTAGGGGATTTTTTTTTTTTTAAACCCTTTTGAAGGAAAAGGGCCACAGCTGGAATGGAAAGCTGCACAGCAGCAGGAATGGCTGGTGCTAGTGCTGCAGTAGTCTTGGCTTTCCTCTAGCTATAAGCAGGCTCAACCATAATCATAGAATAGAATAGTTAGGGTTGGAAAGGACCTTAAGATCATCTAGTTAGGGTGATCACTGAGAAAGCATTTGGTCTGGGAAACAAGGAGCCTTCACAAAGCTGGAAGCAGAGATAGCTCTCTGTGTTGGCAAGCCTTCATCTGTGAAATGTGTGTTCAGGATGCTGGTTGAAGTATCTTGTTGCTTTTATTTACCTCAAGCTAGTCTTATTGCCTGATTACCTGAATGCAATGTCTTAGGATATAACTAGTAAGTCCTAACAGAAGAAGAAACAGGGAGAAAAAGCAGCCTGAAGAAATACGTGGGTTTAGAAGAGGCATTTGGGAACTTGGTGTTGGATCAGGCTGCTCAGGGAAGTGATGGAGTCACCATCTCTGGAGGTATTTCACAAACGTGTAGATGTGACACTTAGGGGCAAGGTTTAGTGGTGGCCTTGGCTGTGCCAGGATAACGGTTGGACTTGGATCTGAAAGTTCTTATCCAACCTAAACAATTCCATGAGCTCCGGAGCAAAGCCTGGTGCTAGGGGAGTGGGAAGCAGCGTGGCTGCAGCTGCATGGAGAGCGAACGCCACTAGATGGTGTGGAATAACCGTCAGGGCCTGGCTCCAGCTCCCTGTACCCTGCAGGGAGGTTGGCTTTGTCCTGGGCCTGGGAATTCCGTGCTGTGGAGTCTTGGGATACCCCTAACTGTAGGTTCCCTGCTTCCACCCATCTTCCTACCTTTTGCTGCTACCCTGGGGGAAGGTAGGGATGGGAAGAGCAGCCAACAGAAATAAGGAAAGAAACCTCAGTAAGGTTCATGCTCCTTTTTCTGGCATTTAAATGAACGTCACACTAAAGTCATTGATCTACTATTAATGATGAGCCCGATGGCAGGCACATTGTCTCTCTTATTTGGATTTCATCATCCTGTCAGCAGAAATCATGGGAAGCTTTCCTGGGGACACCTGGGAAGAAGACAGGAAACCAATGCTCACAACTTTGCAAAGGGAAATAGTGAGCTATGGAATGTGGCTTCATTTGGCTTGTATGAAAAGCAGCGTGGAAGCCTGGGTTAACTGTCAGTTCTCATGTCACTGGTGGCAAAGGCTGCGTGGCCAACGTGTTTAGTTCTCAGCTGTGTATTTTGACATCGTGTTTTGCAAGAGCTTTGCACAGAAATTGCTCCTTTTGAAGGAGGAAGCTGTTAAGGTCAAAGGAAACGGTGGCTGCAGGCACTTTGTCCTATTATGAAGGTTAATGAGCAGTGCAAACACAAGGCCTTGCTGAGGAGGGTGCCTGTCCTTGCTGGCACTGGGAGGAAGGTGGCAGCACGGTAACAACTTGTCTGGAGTCCATGGCTTGCTCTTGGTGTGCTTCAATGGTCCTTGAGCTCTGTGGCTGAGGTAAGTGCCTTGGCTTCCTGCCTCTGAGTGGGATGTGAGGGGAGGGCGAAGGCTGGGCTGCGCTTCCTGGCTTGGGAGCTTGACTGCAGCCAACACAGCCCTCCTGTCTTAATTACTTACATCTTTAATTACTCAAATGCTACTGTTGCCTCCTGTGATGGGCACCGTAGATGAGTTAAGAGTGAAGCCTCTTGAGTGAGAAGGAGCTTTGCGAGCCCCTGGGTTTGTGCTAACAGGGCTTGGATGAGGGCTTGGGCTTGCTTTGTGAAGCCTGTTAGCTCAGGGGAAGAGAAGACCAGGGCAAGAGGAGCTCCATGTGCTCCTGGAGCCCAGCTCTGGCAGCGCTTCCCCATCAGCAGAGCTGTGTTTGGTGCCACTCAGTTGCGTTCTGAAGTCGTTCCCCGCGTCTTTGCGTCGTCTTCCCATATTTACCCTCACACGTAGCCCCGGCAGTGTTTACTCTGCAAAGATTCCTCTAAGACTCAGCTAAGCACACAATTTACTCAGCTAACAAGGGCTGGCATTTATTGTGGGTATCTCTGTGCACTCGTGCTTCAGTCCCCGTTGACAGTCGGTGGGAAGCGTTAAAACAAACAGCAGTGGGAGGCTTGGCTTTGCCTGTACCAACCCTGCTCTGAAATAGCTGAGCAGGCTCCCGGCTTGACGTTGGCCAGAGCTGGCTCCCACCAGTCTGCTGCCAGGGAGGATGGAAAAGCCTTTGTGAAGCAAGTGGGCTGTGGCGACAGGTTTTCAGCGTTGGAGATGCAGCTCGCCTTGCTCTGCAGTGCATGTGCACCTCCTTCTTCCCCTTGAGCTTTGCAGTGGGTGCAGCTGACCCTTCCTGAGTGGGTAAGGAAGCAGCCCTATGGAGTAACTCGAGTTGCTCGCAGGCAAGTTTCTGGGGGGAGTTAACCCCAAATTTGCTATTGCCCAATTCATTGGGCTTAGAGCCATTTATAGAGCTGAACCCCCTGATGAGCCTTTAAGGTTCCTTCCAACCCAGACCACTCTGGGATTCTATGATCTTTGTGTCTCTCTGCAGCAGCAGGAATGTTCCCTGCCATCTGCTTGCCCTGCTCTTGGAAGAGGCAGCTTCCCCCTTGCCTCCTGTTGGGATGCTTGAACCTGTCGCTGAGGAGCGTTCGGTTACTTGTGCAAACAAAGCAGCCAGGGTGATGTGAAGGCATGATGATTTGTGATTACTGCTTTGCATTTAACAGGGTTCAGGGCAGGTCCTTGGCTCTGGCAGTTCTCTCAGCCAACAGGACCATGCTGTACCCCAGTGGGATGCATCGCACTGCTCTGCAAAGGCTGGTGAAAGTAGCTCATCGCTGCCTTCGTTTTGAGGCTGGCTTCTGTGCTTTCTGGTCCCTGTAGCTGGAACTCTGCAAAACTTCAGCACTTCCATCAGCTGCTTCTCTCTGGTGGAAGAGCGCTGCCATGCAGTGGATGCTCCTCCACGAGCAAGCCTGCTGCTGGAGGATCTCTGCCAGTTTGCCTGTCCTTTAGCTCCTTGGCAAGCCAGCAGTTGTCAGGAATACTGAGCTGGATTCGTGTTTACCTTTTGAGGGAACAAATTCCTACCGCATCAGAACGAAGGCTGCAGCTAACGCTGCCCCATCTCCCTGCCAGCTCCGAGTCGTCAGAGTTTCCTACTGGCAGAAGGTGAAGGCTCTGGACTCTGTTGCTTGGATGTTGTTGGCATTAACTGCCTGCAGCCTCTGCTGAGTAATGAAAAGCAGAAGAGCACTCAGGTTCCACCCTGGAATGGAGCTGGAGCAGAGCTGCTGCTGAGCTGGGGCTGGTCCAGGCTCTGCCATTGAAACCTGGTCGAGGGTTGGGATGAAAGTTCAGGACCCCGCTCCTCCATCCCTGGCAGTGAATCCCTGTTAAGGGGGTCAGTACCAGCAGCCTGCAGGAGAAGCTGAACTCTTCCCAGTGAACCTCATGGGGTTTTACTGCCTCCTGCTCCCTTGCCAAGCACTTTGCAGGGTGGAAAAGGTGCTTGCACCCCTCTGCTGTGCTCAGCATTCCGGCTGCGTGCTCAGCAGGGTCCAGGAGCCAGAGGAGGAAAACATGGATTCGGAGGAGGCTGTTTGCTTTCGGACCTGGCAGCTCCTGTGCGTGCTTCACACTGGCATGCTGCCGTGCTCTGCCCCTGACCCGCAGGGCTACAGCTGTCCTCAGCCTGGCCCCTCATCGGGCACTCTCAGTCCTGCATTCCCTGGTGGAAGCTATTTGCAGGGAGGGATCAAAGGCATGGCTGGAAATCCTGGCTCTGGGAGGTAACGGAGGCTGCCTGGGTGGAAGTCAGCTTCTGCTTCGAAGGC